GTTTTCACATAAATGATGCAGCCTCTGCTGAAATGTTAACTGTCTGACATCTTATTAATTTTTCAAATTAGAACTTATTTTTTCTTTGTATTACACTACACTATCTTGCAGGCCTTAATTTATTGAAAAATTAGCAGTGTCAGCTTCGCTGCCAAAGACTGGAACATAACATTCTGTGCGCCATGAATTGCATTCAGCCTTACACACAGGGCCTGAATAAGGGAGAGGCAACATATAAACACTGCTCTCCTCAGCGGCCCCTGAGTCGGTGTTTGGGTGGTATTTATACAAAGTGTGGCAACCTCAGGGCTGAGTTGGATGTCAGGGCAAATGGGCACAGGGCATTGTGAGGAAGGAGTGTGGGATTTCACCTGCCTTCTGACACGACAAGGACTCGTGTTTCTCAGTGACTACAGGAATCCTGGGTGGGAGGAGAACCACCTGCAGCTGGGGCTCTCCCTTAGGCAGTGGCAGAAACCCAAGGATGCTGCTCCTTCCCAAAAGACTGTGTGTCCCCTGCTTCCTGCCTGCTGCTCCTCGCAGAAGTAGCTGCTTATTTCACAAAAATTTTCCCTTTCAGTACTTGAAGGGAGAACTTACAGGAACGATAGGGCAAGACTATTTACAAGACCCTGTAGTGACAGGACAAGAATCACAGAATCAATCAGGTTGGAAAAGACCTCTGAGTTCATTGAGTCCAACCTATGACCTAGCAACACCTTGTTAACTAGACCATGGCACCAAGTGCCACATCCAGTCTCTTAAATACCTCCAGGGATGGTGACTCTTCCACCTCCCTGGGCAGCCCATTCCAATGTCGAATTACTCTCTAAAGAAATTCTTCCTAATGTCTAACCTAAACCTCCCCCGGCACAGCTTAAGAGTGTGCCCTCTTGTCCTAACAGAATCGCAAAAGACAAGGGGGAATGGCTTCAAATTGAGAGTAGGCTTAGATCAGACACTAGGAAGAGATTCTTTACTGAGGGTGAAGGTTGTGAGGCGCTGGCACAGGTTGCCCAGTGAAGTATTGAATGCCCCATCCCTGGAGGTGGTCAGGTTGGATGGGGCTCCGAGCGACCTCATCTAGCTGAAGGTTGCCCACGGCATGGGGGTTGGAACGAGGCGATCTTCAAGCTCCCGTTCCAACCCAAACCATTCCACGATTCTACAAAGAACGAGCTTTCCCAGAGCCGCCCCTCCCGCTCCCTTTCCTGTCTATTTTCCACTCTCGCTGTGGAGGCCGCCCCGGCCCCGCCCTCAGGCGTCACGGCCCGCCCCTCAGGCGTCACGGCCCCGCCCCCAGCACCGCCCGCCAATGGGCGCGCGAGCCGCCGCTGACGCGACGCGTGGCCCGCCCCGCCCGCGGGCCGTTTCTGTTTCGCTCCGGGCCGCCCGGGCGCTGTCGCCGCTGTCGCGATGGAGCCGCAGCCTGACAGCCTCGACGGTGGGTGGGCCGTGCGCGACACCGCTTCGCCGAGCCCCAAGCCGCCGCCGCGCCTCCGCTTCCTCGTGGGCTGGAACGGCGCGGAGGGCGCGTTCGCCGTGACCTGCCACGGCCGGCGGAGGCGGCGGAGCAGGCCCCGCAGAGCTGGGCCGGGCTGTTCTCGGCGCGCGGCCCTGCGCGGCGTCCACCGGCAGCTGTCGGCCCTGTGCCCGCGCCTCGATCCGCCTCTCCGCCGCGCCCCCCCGCGCTCGGCGGCGCGCGCGGGCTCTCTGGGCGTGCTGTTCCGGCCGCAGGCCGGCGAGGCCGAGCTGCAGGATGACTGTGGGCCTCTGTACTCCTAGGGCCTGGATCTCTGCGGCGGTCTGTGCTGGACGCGCTGTTCGCGCCGCGCTGCGACGATGAGTACTTCGAGAGCCTCCAGGAGCTGCGCGGGAGGGCCCTGCGCGGTCACCTGGCCCGGGCCAAGGAGGCCTGCGGCGGTACGGGCCCGGGCCGGGCGGGGCGGAGGGACCGGGGCTCGGGACTGTCCCCCAGGGGTGCGGGATGAGGGTGCTGCCGGGCCCCCCCTGCGCTCCCTACAGGTCCCCACGCTGTAGGAGCACGTTTGCTGCTTGGTGCTGCAGCTCACCCTCGCTCGGGGCAAACTCTTTTGCAAAACTCCTGTGAGCAAGGGCGACCGAGCCGCTGATACCATCTTGCTCGTAGTGTTGTCCAATGTCCAGATTTGGCTTACACAACACTTTTTTTATTTGCCTGGGAGCCACCAAGTCAACTTTCTCAAGTACTAAGTGTCGTCAGCCTTGTAAGTGCAGCTTTATTAAGTGGGGAATAAGTCGGCTCCAGGTGGGCAGTCAATATAAGAACACTGGGGCGTTTGCTTAAGCTGTAAGCACTCCTACGAAAACACATTGCTAAAAACATCCAGCAGTGTTGTGCAATGTGTGGAAGAGTAACCGAAGAGGAGAGTACAATCATGTGCTAATTTTCTAAGTCAGGTTTATTTATTAAAACCAAACTTTGCCCTAGTTCTATGCCAAATAAGTGTATTGTAGTCAGAAAAATTGTGTTATTTTTTTAAAAGTGTCAAATTCTGCCCTAATGATTGATGAAATAATGATGATGTTAGCCCTTTCTTTATTTAGTACCTTAAGTTTCTTCTTGTTATAGATGTATTCCTAGATTTTTCCCCCCCTTGTTGTAAGCATGAATTCAAAGGACAGTGTCTGGTAACACAGTTGCAGAATGTTAAAACAAGAGTTACAGATAAGTTCAAGCTCACCAGTGTGTTGCTGCTACAGTTTCCTTGTAGTACCTGTTTCCAGTCTGTTTTCTGGCAAAGTAAGCTGAAAGGTATTTTATGAAAGTGATCATGCTTTGGAGGAAGGTTAAGACAGTTGACTTTAGCCTTCTGTTTCTTATTACAGCTGTAACAACATTCCTGTTTCAGAAAGACAGTGTTTTTAAAAAGGCATCTTTAGTTTACATGAACGTGTACTGTGTTGTATACAAAAGTCAGTGTCTGTCACTGACTATAACAGTTCACAGCCCAGCCACACACACATTCCAGCCACCACACTCTTTTGCAAGCAGCACAAACATGTACAGCTGTGTAGCAGTTTGCAGCTTGAGGGTCAAGTACAACTTGGTGCCAGTTATTTTACTATTTCCAGCTACATTTTAGATGTGGCTAAAGATGCTGTAGTGTTGTATTTGCAGGCCTAACAGGGACATAAGTCCATTATATTTCATTCTAGACCAAGTTATGCAAGATTCAAGAAATAGCCACTAACCCAGCCTTAGGTACCAGAGTATCCTTCTCCCCTCTTCATATCCATGTCCTTCTCAAATACTTCATCCTTTGGGCCAGGAAATTAATTTTAGTGAATATAAAAGATACTGGTACAGGATGGAGGAGAGTAGTGTGGTGTAAATACTTCTTGTATTGTGTGTTCAAGAAAAAAAACCCACAAGAACATTACTGTTGCAACCAAAGAAGTCAGTTGGGCTGATGGCGAACTGGAATTCTATGAAAAGAGAATGACACTGTGTAAAAGCAGGGATTTTACCTTAAAACAGGCCAAATGATAGACATACTATACCACCCCTTCAAAAGAAAAACAAAGAACACCCAAACAAAAAAAGCCCAAACCCTTGTAAATGAATAATTGTCCCATGAGTTGACTTTAAAATGTCATTAACACGTCCATTGTACTCACTCTAAACATTCTCCAGGAGCAGCGGGACCCTCACTACTTGCTTTTAGTATGGGAACCAGAAAGTTAACTGTTAAGTTTGTGGTTGGCCTTAGTAGTGGGGCAAAAGCAGACTGTGGAATTGCTGCAGGTGGGCCTTTGAACTATGTCTGAGCTACCACAAGCTCCTGGGGAGCCCTAACGGGCTGCTTAACATCTGGGATTATCAGTAATACTGCAGTTCAGATCCTCTTGTTCCCCTGTCTTGCCTGTACCAGGCCTGCAGGCAGGATGGGTGGGAAATGCCCTTGAGCTGACTTCCACAGATTTGCCCTGAGGAAATGCATCCATGCATGGGAATTCTGCTCCTGCTGTCTTAACCCAGACTCAGCTGGCAAGAGCAAAGGTGATGGTTTAGTTTCAGTGGTTTTCAGTTGCAACACAATCAAGCTTAGTTTTTTAATGCTTTTCCTCATTGTTGTAGCACACCCCTCCCTCCCATCCCCTTCCCTCTTCCTGGAGCTGCAGAGCACACGCTGTCCTTCCAGGAAGGTCTGTGTTTCTCAGTGGTACTTCACTGTGTTCTCTCAGCCAGCACACTCTATCCTGGCATGTGGAGCATGCCATAGTCTCTGCCAGCTGCTGTCAAAGAAAAAAATCTTTGAAGCTTTGATTGGTGCCAATAAACAAATGCAATTAAAGGGAAATCCCCAACTCTGTATTTTGTCATAGAAGCAAGTAAAGACTTTAAATAGGGTCTAGTGTATTAGGAAGGCAGCAGTTCCATGAAAGAATTATGAGTTACAAAATGTAATATCATTAGAACTGAGGTTAGAATAAACTATTATAAATTGTACAGCAGTTAAAGGAATTTAACTGCAGGGTTATCTGGTGTAGAAATATATTTTTGAATTCTTATTTTTAAATGTCAATATGATTTTTCTGTGCCCGAGGTCAGAAATTCTGGATCCAGAAATTCATTAGCAGGCATTTAGTAATTGTGGAAGCAATGCAAGAGCTAGTTTAAGAATGCCTTGCTTGTCCTTGCAGTACACTAACTTCCCAAGATTCCCAGTTATGTTTATAAAAAGCAGCAACAGAGTCATCTGCACACAGTTATTAGAATTTCTGTGGTGCAAGCCCTAGGCATGATGTTCCTTGCAGTCTCCTAATGCAATATGCAGCAATTAGTGCCTTTAACAGGGTGGTGCCAAAGATATTTTCAGCTGGGGTGGCCACAGAATGCCTGGCACACACCTCCTATGCAGTGGGAAGTCTTGGCTGTGGAATTACAGGTAGCCCCTCAGCATCCAGCACACACGAATGCAAAGCAACTGTGTCTGATTTACCTTTCATCCCACTAGGTTCTGCAGCAGCATAAAAGTACTGACACAATGGTAGCTTTGATGAAGGTTTATGAAAAAGAAGATGAAGCTTATCAGGATTTGGTCACCATGGCAACACAATTCTACCAGTATTTACTGCAGCCCTTCAGAGATATGCGAGAGCTGGCGACACTGTACAAACTGGAAATCCTGGTAAGTCTGCCTTTACAGAGTGAAAGGCCAACCTGTATAGGAGGGCATCAGCTGCTCTTGGAGCAGTTTAAACTCACATCACGTAACATTCCTTACTTTGGTCTGTACCTACTTTTTTTTGTCCCTGCCAAGCCATCAAACGTGACTGAGAAATTCAGAGTTAGGGCTGAGCTGCTCTCAGAGGATTTCTGAGTCCCTGGTAGTGGCTTGACTAAAACTGCAGCTGTCTTCCCACCAGTGTCCCAGTTAAAAGGAAAATATTCCCAAGCTCCACCTTCCTGGGTTTGCTCTCTGGGAGGCTGAATTTACAGAGATCTAAGTAGCCTTTGTTGTGCCGCCTTCAGTGGGATTAGTTTACAACTTTGATAATGTCCTCCCTCAGTAATGCTGATGCACCTGGTTAATTCAGTTGTGCTGGTAGACCAGAAGACAGAGGAGACCTTCCCACTCAAAGAAGTTTTCTATTGCTGCTACAACCTGCTACAAGTACAGATTAAGAACATGTCAGTTGTCAGTGCATTCATTTAGTTTTATGTGCATTTTAAACTGGAAGCACATGCTGAAAGTTATGATGCCCCTGGAAATGGCAGCCATTTACTGTTTTGATTTTTCCTTAAATAATGTGTTAAAATTAAAATGAGCTGTTGATGTTCTCAAAAAGAGCAGAACAGTTTTAAGCTTAGACTAAGGTGCTTGGATACTGAAGGTCTAAATCCGTAACGGTGAAATATCCAGTGTCCTGTTCTGAAAATTAAAGTGAAAATTGGAACAAATGAAGCAAAATTTGTTCTGTATTAAAAAAAAACCTCTAAAGGATATTTAGGCTTATTTGAAACATAGTTGTTTTAAAAAAGTATTTGAATACTAGTCTTCTACCCATGTACACTTTGTGGACTTGAAAATACTCTCTTATGTTTCTTTTCTGTATCCCTGTTCCTGTGTGAAAGAACTGCCAAACTGGAGAACCTGACAGTGCAATGTGCTGTCAACACGTGGGGAAAAATAGAAGGGAACATTGCACATAAAAGAGTGGGTTTGAGTTACTTTTAGTAGCAACTAAAAACAGTCATGGTGGATATGATTTTTAAGATGATAGTTTAAAAAATATTTTAAGAAATAAATGTGGGGTCAAGATTGGGAAACAAAGGTTCTGAGTTAGCCTAGAGAATGAGAAACAAGGCAATACATAGGCATGGACAGTGATTCACGTTGTGACAGGTGAGGGGAAGCTCATGTTTCCCACCATGCTCTGCCTTGCTTGGAACGTCCCCAGGTATATTACTGTGCAGCTGCACCTCTGTGGAAACCAGGCGGTAACCGGGAATTTTGTGTCCTTGCAGAAGTCTTTGCAGTATGATAAGTTGGGGCCTAGAAGAGTGGCAGCTTTGCAGAAAGATGCTGAAGAATGGACTAAGCGAGCTGAGAGTGCTGTGTGCTCCATTCAGGATATCACTGTGAACTACTTCAAAGAAACTGTAAAAGCTCTGGCAGGTAATCAAAATGATTTACACAAAAGGTTGTGTAAATACTCGACTTAGGGGACTGAGAGCTCCTCTTATGTATCTGCAGAACCTGAGGTTAGGATGAGTGTCCAGCTTAAGAAAGAAGCCTTTTATTCACTTAAGATTTATATCTTTCAGCTAATTTGGTTTACAACTTGTATTTGTCTTGCACATAAATATTATCAAAGCATGGGACCCATGGCTGCAAAGCTCTGCACAAAACCCATGGAAGTTTTAACACTTAATATGCAAACCTCAAGGATTTCAGCATGTGAGCTGAGTAGGTTTCCGTGTAACTGTTAAGGCATGTTTCCGAGGTACAACAAAGTATTTTACTTACATGTATAAGATCACAAATTCACCCTTTTAATCCTGTAATTTCTAAAGAAGCTTCCAAAATTGTTTAGTTGGATCAGCATTTTTAGTACTGCAGAAACGCACAAGGGCAATTAGTACACTGCATTTCTCATGTCTTACTGCAATGTTTTAATCCACAGCAATGCACAAACAGATGGAACAAGATGAGGAAAGATTTGGTAAAACCGCCTGGGCATCAGCTTTGCCACGACTAGAAAACCTGAAATGTATGTTAGCAAAAGAAACCCTTCAGCATCTGAGGGCAAGAGAGTTGTGCCTGAAACAGAAGAGAACTGGCATTCAGAAACTCGTAAGACCTTACAAAACCTCCTTTTCTGTCACTGTTTTGTGAAGGGCTCATCAAAACCTAGCAAAGTGGTCATGGGAGTAGACTTTTGAAGTCTTTGTCTATGAAACAGTTTTGGTTTTCAGCATGGTTTTAAGTTGTGGAAAAACGCATGTCTTCAGGGCCTTTTTAATTGCTCCTGCATTTTTGAGGACACTTAGCAAAGTTTAAGATACATGCTTTTACAGTTCAAATGTCATGTTAGCATTTGTGATATTAACCTTTGAAATTGTTAGTTTTAGGGAGATAGACCCAGATATTATTTTCAGAGGACACTGAAAAATGAAAATATTTAATATTAGTCTTCTGATCTTCTGGATTTGCCCTCTAACTGCCACTAGGAGTACCTGATATTTATTTTCCAAGAGTAGTGTACTGCACCATATGTAATTGTTTTCAGGAGTAGTATCATTTGTGTGGTTTATAATGAGGTCTTTCCTGGTAGACTAGAGATAAACTTACACTTTAGGTAAATAAGACTCTCTGCTGTTCTGAGTTTCTGCTCCAAGCCATTTCTAATGCTCTGTTGTTTCCACACCAAAGCATCTAAGCAGCTGCCAGTTAGGCCAGGCTCTTTACAGGTACTTGTGCATCCAGGCATGTTTCATGTGTGCATATTTTGTTATTTTATTTTTTGTTTGGGGCTATACAGATGGAGAGTCTTGGTGAGCAAGAAGAGAACTTAAGTGTAGTGGAGGAGCTGGAAATACAGTATTATGAAACGCAGCTGGAGTTATATAATGTACAGCTTGAAGTATTGAAACATGAAGAGATGCTGCTTATTGTACAGTTGGACACTATAAAGAGGCAGATAAAAGGTGAGAATAAACAATTATTTAAGCACATATTCAGAACACAGGAGCAATATAGCCTGCTCTGTTTTCACTTTAAAAAAATGGATATCACTGCTTGGGTCTCAATAGTAGAAAGCATCTTTGGAAAACATTCATGGCACCATGGCACCATCTGATATTTTGTCCTCTAACTAATTAGACACTAATTTGATGGCACAAGTTTAAAAAAACACCACAGTGCTTGCTTATCTTGCCAGCAGCTGTGATATGTGCATGCCCTGGTTTAGCATGTGGAATAACTTATATTGACAGTGCTTAACTGCTCTCACAGTTACAAGATCTATGCGTAGAAACTGGATATCATGAACCTGCTGAAATAGGTCCTGTAATTCATCATAATCTATTCTAATATAATGTGTACAAGTTACAAAATACATCCTATAATGACAAAAAGAGGTGATTTGGCTAGAATGGTACCTGAATGCTGCTATATTCCAGTTTAAGTGTCTCACCGTGACGTATTTATGAGCAAATTAGGCACCAGTCTTGTTCTTCTTTGAGCTTATGAATTCTGTTACCATGTGCACTGTGAAGTAAACATTGCTGCTGCTTGTTGCATAATTAAAATGTGGTAAATAGTAAAATAAGACACCCAGTGTTGATCAGAACAGTCGTCGGTTTTCCAGGAAAACTCCATTTGGTGAAGGTAGGAGTTAAAACACAGAGAGACATTTGAAAGAGGAAGCTAAATAACAAATGCTAACAGCATAAACTTGATCCTGCAAAGCACCCCTGTGAGTAACATGACATGTTTGCATAAGACTGTGAAGGACCAAGCTCGGCTCTGGAGCATTACACTTCCTCATAACTAACTCACTGCCTTCAATGGCTTTTGAAATGTCATTAGCTCTTTAAATGTTTAAATAACTGTGGCAATTTTTGGTTTTTTAAAAAATGCCAAATGCCTTTTTAGAGAAACAGGATGAAGTTGTTTACTATGATACATGTGAAAATCCTGAGGAGCTCAAGGTCATTGAACAGACAATGGGACAACATTACGCTAACTTGTCAGAAATGACGATGCTGAGGCAGAAGACTAAGCAGTTGGAGACAAAGCGTGGGACTGTCTGTGCGAGGAGAGCCTACCTCAGGAACAAAAAAGTAAATGCAGTCCTGGAGATGTGCATTTTCTTTAGCTGATATCTTGACTCACGAGGGATGGACAGGAAACAATTAGGGAAGCTTTGGGTGGAACATACAGGATGATTCAAACTCAGTGCCAAGGTCCACAAACAGAAAGAGGGGCAATGTGATTCTAAGCCAGCTTTATACTCCGCGGTGTGGTGCAAGTGCATGTGACTTAGAACACAAAGTTACCTGGGAGACCCAGGTGTTCCCCCATCAGCTAAGCCTTACCAGAGCCCTGTTGAGGCCAGCTGGAGCTTTGCCTTAGCAGCCTTTTCAAAATATCTGCAGTACAGGAGGAAGCCTGGCCTTCCATGAAGGAAGCTGCAGTGGTTGAACAGCCCACACGCTAATACTTTTACCTCTGAACAGAGGGAAGGGGAAAACTTAACTGCTGCAATTCTCTCTCCAGCCTCTCAGTTCTGTGCAAAGGGCAGTTCTTTTGTTTCCTAGCCAGAGCAGAACTAGGAAGACACAAATTGACTCTCATGAACCTTCCCAGTAGGCTGAGCTTACCTTACACCTGCAGTCCTGCTGGAGCAGAGAGCAGAAATTAGGTCCCAGTCTGTCTGACCTTTTACCCGTCACTAGCCTGGACAAAATGGGAATGACATTGGAAATGTTTTGTTAGCCATCATTGTCTCTTGCTTGCAACTGCTTCCTTGGCAAACACTTCTTTTGCTTCTGTTTTCATTTCCTTAATTGCTGTCTATGGGTTATATAACACTAAAGCCAAATGCCAGCTGATTTGCAAATGCTTGTCCAGCCATGTGGATAATCCCCCTCTGTACAGAGACAAATAGCGACTCCCAGAGAAAATATTGAAGCCTGCAGCTTTTCTGTGGCACTTCTTACTAACAGAAAGTACCCCTGCTAGGCATTCATTGTGCTTTCCCATACCTTTGTTTCCCTGGCATTTTTACTTGGGACCTATGGCAAATAAGAAACAGGGGGAAAGAAACCTTGTATTTTTGTAATGCCCTGCTAGCTTCCTTCTTGCCTTCTTCCTCATGTCTTTGCATTCCTTCTCTCCAGCTGGTACTTGGGTGACATTTCTTCAGAGCTTGTTTCTTCTTTTTTTTTTTTTCCCATTTCTTCTATTATTTTTTTAGCAAAAGTATAAGACAGAGTGGTCAATTCAGGTCTGGGTATGTTTTCTCTGCAGCATGAATAAAAATATGACTAATTAGGAAAACAAAAGGTCCCGCTGGCTTTAGCCATGAAGGACTCCCACAGACTTCACCATCAGGGTCTCACATCTGACACTAGTTGAGCTTAGCCATCTTTCTTGGCACTGCTAAATAGCAACCGTGGTTGCTATTTAGTGACCTGTGCACAGGAGTTAATGGCACAGATGGTACACAGTGAATGTGAACTGATGAGAGTTGCCTGAATTTTGCTCTTCTCCCAGGATCAGTGTGAAGCAAGCCACCGGCAGAGACTGCAACAGGCAGAAGAGAGCAAAAAACGCTTCCAGCAGCATCACAGCATACAGATAGTGAGTACTGAATTGCAGCCTTGAAGAATCTCCCAGCTGCTTGTTTTCACAGAATAAGGCTCACTTACTTGTGTTTTAATGCAGAAGAGAGACAAGCAAAAAGAGGAGGAGAAAAAGAAAAAGGCTTGGATAAGCCAGGAACGTCAGAAAACACTGGAGAGGCTGAAAGCATTCAGGGAGGCAAGTATTGTGAACTCCAGTAGTCCTAAATGATGTGAAAACACAACGTCAGAATGTAGTCATAGCTCATGTGTGAGCACAGTCCAAATCAGAGACAATGTTTTGGATAGCCTAAAATAGGTTTATGTGTTATGAGTCAAGAGGATTAAATCCACTAAGAATATAATTTCCAGGTGTGGAACCTGTTGCAAAGAATACAGGTGAGAAAATGGCTTTGAAAGAAATATTTTGATATTCATTTAAATTTATTCAATGTTGAATTTTCTGCTTGAATGGGGGAGTGGGACAGGTCTGTACTCTCTGACTTTTTACCTCTTTGGGATTGATGTTTTGGCCAGTCCAATGGACATGTGACCTCCTGCCTTCTGATTTTTTTTTTCAGAAGTGTCCAGCTCATGTTGTTCTGAAAACATCTCGTCCCCAGCCTCTCAGTCCCAAGTTGCCACGAAACATCACCGAGCAGGCTGTAGTCCTGTCCCCTCCACCTTCATCCCCAGCAGTACTGTCCCCTGCACCCTCACCACGAGCAAGGGCAGCTCCAGAGCAGCCACAGAGCATACTGCTGATTGAAGCCAAAGAATCAAAAGCTTTGTGCCAGAACACCCCAGCAGATATCCCTGTCCAGATTTTTGTTAGTGATGGTGACGCAGAGCTTACTGGTGGTGACACAGAGCAACAAAAGCACAGCAAGGAACTGTTGGTCTCTCCATCCTCACCACCACCACCTCCTCCTCCACCCCCTCCTCCCTTGCCCCTCCTCTCTTGCCCCCTCCTCCCCCACCTCCCCCCTTACCTCTCCAGTTAAAGACACCACCAGCAACAGAGGATACACCACTTCCCCTCAGCTCCAATAGCCCCTCAGAAAGCCCTGCACTGCACAAACAGGATGACTCACCCAGGACATCTATAAATAATTGCATAGGTAAGTGGACTCACATCGACTGGTGCTTTTTTCACTTCCTATATTTTTGTGTTCCCCCTCCCTCTGGTTCTGGACAGGAATAGTGTGTAGTTTTGATCGAGAGAATGAAGCTCTTGGAAAGCTTGGTCTAAAAAACCACATAAAATAACACTGACCATAATTCAGGATGTTAAATGAGTAACAATGATTTCACTTCATGATGCTTGGACTTGGAGTGTGGCTTGGCGTGTTTTGTGAAGTGCTGTCAAAGGGGACAGGTCAATCTTTTAGCACAGTTGAACTTGAATCTCTGCATATGTATTAAGTATGGCCTTAGAAATTAATTTAAACCATGCTTAATCACAGCACTAATAGTTCTGTAGAGATCTTAATTCAGGACCTGCATTTCTCATGAGACTGAACATCCCACAGCTGCAATTGGTAGGAATGTGTCAGAAGAAATTCCAAGGAAAGGAGGTTTACTCTTTGTTTGGTGAGAAGCAACTTTTATTGCTGGGTTTGTTCTTGCCACAATTTTGGAACTTTGACTGAATCTGGTATTTTGATTGAGGATTAATCACCTGTCCAGTGTGAAGACCACTGGGTAAATTTGTAGTTGTATTAAGGCTGCAATTTAGTGTTTCTGATTTATGTACTACAGATCTAGCAGTTGGGCTGCTTGCATTTCTAAGGTGTGCACAGCCCGTGTCCACTTACAATTTGCTTGGTTTCTAAATAAAGGTTTTGTAAAAGAATTCGCGTAGGATTCAACCAGGATTTGAAAGGCAGGTCAATAGTTTTGGCATACATTCCTAGGGGAGAAATTCTGCTCTGTTACACCTTTGCTTTGTTAGCAAGATCATGCAGGTGTAATTGAAGGCTGAACTCGGCAATTGAAACAGTAGTTTGAATGAGAATAGAGCTCAGCAGCCTCCCAAGGCTGCACCGGTTACATCCTGCTAACAGGCTTATTTTTATCTCTAAAGCGAGCGGATATTTTGACTGTGTCAGGGAGATTGATCTAAGTTGGAAGGCAGCAATTTTTTCTGTCGTTTTTCACAGTGGAGCTTATGCTAGAATGAAGAATGTGTTTAAACGTGGTACATTCCTTTCCCTTTCAGAGTCTTCACAATACATCTAAGCAGCCTTTGTATCCTCTCAGTTAAGAGGCAAACCACAGGCAGAAATACCAAGGAAAGTTCAGCATTTTCAGTTCTTCCAAGCTTTGGGGACGTACAAGCAACTGATGGGCTGATACACAGTCGAGTTCCCATGGCAAACTACTGTGCATCCAGTGCAGACTTTGGTCTGGGATGTCCGTGGGATAACTCTACCATGGATACTCTTAAGAAGCTTTAATTAGCAGCAGGAGTTGTACACCAGAGTAGTCTGATTGCTGTTGGAACAGCCTTGCTGGTAGTTAATATTGCTGCCATTCACAACCTAACATTGATGTATTTTCATTATTTTTGAATAAGAAAAATTATTTTTTGTTCAAGGAGAGATCTGATTGGTTGTTTACACCAGTTTCTTGAAGAAAACCATCATGTTAATAGCTGTAATAGTAATTGCTAAATTAGTGCCACAGGAACTTCCTGAAACAGCTTCGTAAACATGTTTGGTTTTGTTATGGACTACTTGTGTCTTTGTATGTGAAGAACCAGGAGAGGCTTTTTTTATGATTTATTAGCCTGACTAGTATTTTACCAGGCAGCCCATTTCATTAATAGACTTAAGGCTTTCTTGCTTGTAGGCTTTGTAAGAGGACCTGGTGGATCTTTGCTTGATCCTTTTCAGTCTCTGAAGGTACCACAGGATTTAGCAAAATGTTACATTTCAGGTGCTTGATGTTAATCACATAACCCTGTGTGCACTGCGCATGGCAAAAATACTTCTGGCTGTGAGGCACAGATGGTCTGGACCTATTGCTGTAGGAGTCAACTGCTGTCCAGGGACACGGCCTCCCTGTCTGACAGTCTGCAGCAAGCAGCAAAGAATCCAACAGAAGGAGTAAAACACAAATTAGTGTGTATCAGGAGGACTAGTGGAAGCTCTCTCAGTATGGTGCCCTTCATGGTCTGAAGTTCAGAAACATACACCTGAGATTTAAATCATGTTGTAAAATGGGAATTGTTTTTAAGTCTGTACAGAAAAGACCTGCTTGTGTAGGGCCTGAGCTGGCTCCCACTGGTTTCAGTGGTGCACTTTCAAGCCCTTCTACTCAAATCCTTTTATTTTTCTCTTGGCTGAGCAAAAATGCAATTGATGGTCTCAGCAGGCTTCTGAGCAAGCTAGGAGGGATGGAAGATTGTTTATAATGGAGAATGCAGGAGATTTTTTGGTTCAGTGAATTTTTTTTGAAAGCCCATAAAGTTGTAATGAAAAAGAGCATCATCCTTTGTGTATAATATCTTCCTTAGAGGACCACTTTGTAAAGTGTTGAAGAAGTGTTGGATTCTCAATTCAAGATATAAAAGCTTTACTGCTTTTCAAAAGCAGTTCCAGAGCCTGCTGTTGCAGAAGCTTGAAAGAGTCTGTTCTGGAAGAGACCATTCTTTTTCCTGTCTTTAGTACAGATTAAAGGGAGAACCCTGAGCACTTGGGTAGGGCTTTATACCACTAAGTGTGGTTGTCTTGTTCTTTCTTCTGGTAACAATAGATTCATCTGTTGCAGGTTCCATGGATGAAGTTTTGGCTTCTCTAAAACGCAGTGAAGTTCATCTTCGCAAAGTGGAACAGCCAAACCCCTATGCTTCTGTGAAAGACAGCATCCTCTCTGCCATAAGGCAAGGAGTTAAACTAAGGAAAGTGAATCGAGATACTGAAAAAGATGTCAGTAAAGGGTCCCCTAATGACCTAGAGAGAAGCATTAAAGCAGCCATGCAGAGAATTAAGAAAGTGTCTGCTGATTCTGAAGAAGAGGAGGACAATGATCGGAATAATGGAGAATGGGACAGCTAACCAGTTCAGCATAACAGACTTACTGACTGGAACTGTCTGCCTAATTTTGCACATTGTGGAAGACTGTCCCTTTCAAAATGAAAGAAGTGTGATTGTGTGTGTGTGTGATAGTCCAAAATGTCTTGTAAAGTAAAATAATCCTGTTGATTTTCTATATAGGAGCTACAAATTCTTATTTTTGCATAAGAAATCATACTCCAAATTATGCTTGCATTAATAGGTATTTTTGGCTCAACCATGTCATGCTTTCACCACATCTGAAGACAGTTAAAATGCTGGATTGAAACATACACTCTTTAGATCACTACTACATAGTAGGTAATGCTATCACAACAAAGTTTAAGGAGTGAAAAAATAACTGAAAATCTCTTTTGTCAGATAAAAGTAGAACCAAATCTGTGGTGGCAGAGGCAGACCAGAAAACTTAGCATAATCTGGAATCTTTCACTCCTACCTCCATTGTCCAGAAAATTCTTTAACATTTTGCTTTTCTAGTGCTGCTCACTCTCAAATAACTACATGGATGCTCCATGTATCATTATGTTAGAAAGTGTGCACTTATGAATGCGCTTGATAATGCTGTTGGGAAAATTAGTATCATGTTTGAAATAAGCACTACTGCAGTAATAACTGAAGAGTTTACCTTTTAGGAAAAGATTAAGTATAGAGAACTTTTAGATGCTAAATGTTTTTCATACTTCTACATTTACAATGAAAGAAAGAGCCAAAATATTGTAGACAGTATTTTCCAGGATCTAGTCCTATAATGCAGAGCTGCATTTTCCTGCTGAAAACATCAATACATGTTTACAGCTACTCTCATGAATTTAAATTACCTGATGGCCTTATAAATGGCAGGTATTTGTGTTGTGCCTGGAAGCTGACTACTTAAAAATTCAGCTACATTCAATGTAGAGACTGTTGCTATTTTGGGTAGATAGTGACAAAAATGATTCAAGGTTTTTTTTGAAGTTTATACTGACCCTTAATAAAAATATATCTTGACAGAGGAAGTGGATTCAATGTGCTGTCATTTTAGGATACTGCTATGAAGTAACTGTTACTTATATCATGGTACTCTAGTTTTTGATAGCAACTGCACTCTCACTAATGTTATATGTAAATGCTCTTATTTTCTCAAATATTTATGAATTGTAATTTGGTAACAAAATTGCAAATACAGTGCTTTAATTCCCTGTTTAATACAGAGCAGCAGATCTGTTTAATCAGCACAGTAAAGACGTATGCAACAGTTTTCAAGAAGCAGCAACTGGAGGTTCATTTTTTGCCATTTAAGCACCTACTGCTGCTTGGATGTCAGAAAAAAACCAAACTTTTTTTTGTCCACTGCAATCAAACCAAACAAAGACAAGAGCAGCAGCAGCAGCACAGATCAGTTCTTACTCATCTTTTCTGAGTGATGTCTGCAGAGGGGAACTGGGCACAATGGGCAGTGCCCCCACACCTGCTCTCTCTGAGCCAGGATGGGCATGGGGGAGCAGGGGAGAATTTACTGCACATTCAGACTTCAGCACCCCAAATGCTGAGCACTTCACATAGACTGGAACTGAAGACAAAATCTGGTTCTTTGAGAGCAGAACTCTCTTCCTCAAGGATACCCTGGGCAGAAGGGGTCTTGGCCAGTGGGAGGGCTGAGGGGGCTGGTGCTGGGGCTGAGAGCTGCCCTCTCCCAGGCCGTGCCCTTCAGCAGTGCAGTTATTTAAAGCTGAGAAAAGGGCACAGAGGCTCGGTTGCCTTCCTGTGGCTGGTACCTCCTGCCAAATGGCAGCACAGAGCCCTTTATTGGTTTAATTCTATTGTTGAATTCTTAACTACAGTGCTAGGACATTAAATACAGCAGTTTAAAGTACGCAGAGAATGAGTTGCAATTTCTCCAAGAAATCTTACAGCTTTGGGGGGTTTAACAGCAGCAATTTTAATCATGAGAGGCCATCTGAAGATCAGTGTCACTGGACAGTGATTTCCCCTGCTTAGGGGTTTCTTTTGTAACTGAAGCTCAGCTGGGGCTGATCTCAGGTGTTCAACAGATCTCTCTACCTCCCAGGCTGAAAAATACCCTTGAAAAACCACTCAGAAACCACTGAACCCACCTGTTTTCTGAAGCCCACTTAATTTGCTAGACAGGCAACAAGCCTGCTCTGGAAAATGTGCTGCTGCAATTTTCTGGTTGGTGTGGAAAATTGCACCTCTATCAAGTGTCCTCACCACCTGGTTCACCAGCAAAATTTAATGGGTGCTACTCAGCAGAGTAGCTACTGGAGCACCAACACTCCTGGACATCAGAAGCATGACCAGGGTAAACACCAGGAGCACTGGCATTAGCCTAAAGAGGAGAAGGAGAGAGAGCAGTTTTCAAATACGTAAGAGGCTGCTGCAAAGAGGAGGCAAGTAATTTGTTCTGTGTGTTCACAGGGAGATAAGGGGCTTAAATTATAGCTGAAAGAGTTCAGGGTAATGATAGGAAAACCTTTCTAACAAACAGTGAGAGCAGACAGGTGCAGGGACAGGTTGCCTGGAAAGGTGTTGGATTTTCTGTCGCTGGAAATCTTTAAGAGCAGGTTAGATAAACACCCCGAGGCACTGCTGGTAATGCTGAGGCACTGCAGGGAGAGGTTTGCGGCCCCTGGCCAGCTGAGCTCAGTGTCTGCTGCCTTGAGGCTGTTTCCTCTGCAGGGAAAGCCACAGCTTGTTTTCTGAGAGATGCCCAAATATAAAAAGGCTCGAAAAAATCTTTCTGAACCACCATCAGATTTTTCTTCTAGCTCTCCATGACCGTGACTTGTCCTTGTAGGAAATGACCCCAGCGCCCTGAGGCTGATTTACCCCAGGTTGATGGGACACTCAAGAAAAGCCACCTGCAAGGGTCAAGAGGATTTATTCTGGATTTGAACTCAGGCTTCAACAGATGCCTTCCCACACCAACATGATCCGGCAGGTTTGGTGCAGCTGCTGGTGCCATGCACAGTCAACAAAGTACAAGGGCTGATGGATAAAATGAGAAACTGAAGTAGTAGGTTGGCTCTGTGATAACCAGCTCTATCAGTTTAGATTAATATTAACCTGCAAAAATGCTGGGACACCTTTTTGACATTAAATACCCTTCTTAAAATAACTTATCATGGGCTAATAAGCGAATCCCTCAGTGGTTATAGTCTCCCCTGACTGTCCAGCTGCAGAAATTTATTTGTTTAAACTGAAAAAAATACAGTTGTCTGTCTTTAAAGAGTTAATAATGCACAGATTTGCTGGAAGTCCCGGTAATGAGATAAAGAAATCAATTTCTATAAATCAGTATCACTGTGGCTTGTGATCTCTCTATGATGTGGGCAGTCCAGACAGCAGCTGCCAGTATTTTTAGGGAGGTTTAAAGTTAATGTATTCAAAGACTACTTGGTCTGACTGAAAGAATTTCACTTTGAAACCCCAGTGCTTTGATCACAGCAAGAGAGGAGTCATGGTTGTGGTACTGGAGCACGGAGCACTGTGGCCATAGCTGGTAATGCCAGTGTAGCTATGGATTTATATGTCCATAGCTAACCCCCCCAGCTCAGTGCACAGGGCTGACTTGCATGCTAGATACGGATTTTTTTCTTTTCTGCAAAATGGTACTGAATTGAATAAATCAAGTCTGAAGTGATCCAGAATGATCTTATAGGGTCTTGAGCAAGTATGTGACATCGCTTGTGCACCTGTGGGGACTATGGGGGACCATGGAATACACTTGAATATATGTGGACTTGAAGTGGTGCCCATGAAGGTTTGCAGGGCAGCACCCATGATCCATCCTTCGATCACTTCCACTCCCTTCTTTTATCCCTATAAAGAAAAAGATGCACATGGACACCAGGAACAAGAGGGACAAAGAGGATCAGTATGAATGCATTCATTAGGACTTACAAAAAGCTGGAAAGTGCTTCTTTTTTCAGTCCTCCTCCACAAAGAAGTTGGTAGATAAAAGTGTGCATCCTTTGGAGAAAATGAGACCTAAGTCTATGCATGGATTTAATTCCAAAAGCTCCTGTTTGCATCCAAGAGCACATCTGCGCACTATATGCCATAATAATGTGATTGGTAGGCAAGAGGGACACATTGTTTCAACTAAACCCATGGTGATGATAAAAGATGAATGGTATTGAAGGCATTAGTTAATAAATGCCACAGCAAACCTTGGCAGCAATAGCAGCTCAGAACAATATGTGAACGTATCCCTGGAGGAAACATTTAAAACGGCTCCAGAACATGGCATTTTTTTCCTGGCAAAAAGGTATGTGATTTTCATTCTCAGCACGTCATGCTAAACTGAGAGCAAGAAACAGCACAATTAAATTTTCTCAGGTAACAGTGACATTAACAGCTCAGCTACTTGTGAAAATGCTTTGTAAAACAAGCCGTCTCTAGCAAGCCTTTGCTTTTGCAGTAACAGTGAGCCACAAACTGCTCAGAAAACATATTTAGCAAAACTACAGTTGTTCATTTTCCACTAGATCCCTATCCTGCCCCAAATCCCCATTAAAGTGCTAAGGAGAGGGGGGACAGCAGCCTCCCCAGGCAGCTGCCTGCAGGTAAATCATGGTCCTGTGGCTGTGGGTCAGGGCCAGCTCTGAGTAAGGGCCTTCTGGCAGAAAGGGGCCACATTGGTCCCCAACCCACAGCAGCATCCAGCTCTGCCCTGCCAGCACCCAAAGGGCCAGCAGTCTGGGGAAAGGCTGGCCAGGCTGCAGCTTGGGGGAGAAACTCAGTGTCCTGCCAGGAGACTGGGTTTCCCCTCACTTGAGCATCGGTTCATCACTCTTAGCATCTGAAGACATTTGCACCTCCCTTCTATCCCAAGGCAACAGTCTAAACACCATCCCACGGGTGTCTTTGCAGAACCCAAGGGTATTTCTCTGAGAACCAGCAGCAGTCTCTGCTCCGCCCCTGCTTTCCATCCTCTTCTCACCCAGAAGAAGTTGAAAGGCAGCCAGCTGCGATGCCAGCAGCGTGGTATCTGCATGTCTCGGCACCATGGCAGTGGGCACTGCAGACACTGGGGGTGACAAAATGAATCTGTCCCACTCCTGGAGACATGCTCGAATCATTTATTCATCAGCAAGTGAGTCACTGCCCTTCCCACAGTCTCTTCCTGCGAAGCAGAGGTGACAGCGAAACAGGATCAAGCGCCTACACGTCCCCAGCCTACATGGCGAGCTCTGCGCCATCCCTTCCCTCCCGAGCTGGCAGCCCTGCTAGTTTGGAACAGAAGTCCTGAGAAGTGTGCAGGCACACAGGGTGAGGAGGCAGCAATGCATCCTGTCTGCTCTGCCAAAAGGAGCACTTCGCATGTGTGAATGCTCCGTGAAGTAGGGAAAAGGGAAAAGGGCTGCACAAAGAGGAGACACGGCCTGTGCTGTGCGTGTGACCCCTCTGTTCCCTCCTGGCATTGCTTACCAGTGAGCACTGGTGCCTCTGCCCACACATGAGGCAGCTGCCTGCTCCCTCAAGGGCAGGGGCTCCCCAGGCCATACCTGGTGTCAGAAATGGGACTGGCTCTGTGGATCAGCATCCATCCCTGTGGGATGACTCCAGGAACAGCAGCAGTATTCCCCATGGTAATGTGAACAGAAGTCAAGCAGGGCTGCAGTCATCTGTAAAACTGTAATTAGCTTAAATTGGGCAAGGAGACATCTGGACCAGAGATGAAGAAGGCAACTAGAGACAAGCATTGTTTTCCCTTGACGCAACTCTGCTGAGCCTGCTGGGCTCCATTGCAGTCACCTGGTGTGACCCAAAGAATGCCTTGGGATGAGCCATGCCAGCACTGCTCCAGAATTTGCACAAAATGTGCCAGTTTGCACAACAAGAGGAGTTCAAATTTATTTACTGCAACACTGTGCTTCTCAGTTCCTGTTCATACACTGCCATCAGTACTGGTGTTGGGTTTTATATGTATTTATCACACAAGCAGAAACAAGGCGTTGTAAATCAGTAATAGCCCATCCATTAAATTTCTTTTCCAAAGAAGAACTAAGTATGACCAGCAATGTTGGTTCATCCAGAAAGTATAAAAAAATCAAATCCATTACAACAATCATAGCTAAAGAAAATTGCCCAGAGTTTGTTCAAAAACCTTTGCAAGTTGGAGGTTTCACCTGCTATTTCCAGTACCCAGTTAGAAGATACAAAGTAGGGCAGCTGAAGCTGTGGATTGTCAAGGCATGCTGCATCTCATCTTAGGGAGGGACTTGGACACTGGGCTCTGGTCATCTTTTATCTGAATCAAAAAACCTATCAGATGCTACACACCTTGATGTAGAAGAGCTAGGCTGCAGCATAGCTCGGCCCCTTCCCCTTCATATTTTTGTACATCCCTGTGTCTCTCATTCTTGACCTAAAGCCATTCTCTTCCCACTGAAACAACTGTGCTGGTGACCATGGGACCTCCACAGCATTAAGGAGAGAGTGAATCACTGCAATTTCTCAGGTTTCAGTCTCAGGGATTATCTTTATAAATGCACCCAACACTGCTATAGATAAGCAGGATTTGAAAGGCATAAATACTTTGCTTCTTTCCTGGGTTCTTTGTTCTTCAGGGAACTCCAGCATCCTGTTTTGTGACATTCATCTTCAGGCTAATGAATGGTACAAACCTGCATCCAGAGAAAAATGAAAGCCATGGCTAATGGTAGCAACAAAATAAATAGCAAAAGCCTAAAAGTAAATAGCTTTGAAAACTGATACGTTTCAATGTGACATGATAATGCAAAAAGGTTCAGTGCTGGTGTTATTTATAATTCCCTGAATGTCTGAATTCCCTCCAGCCAGCATACATTAAGTACAATCCAGGGCATATGCAACAAATCATATTCAATGATGAAAAGTCAGGAGAAAAGCAAGAGCCAAGAGCTCAATCTCTCTTGATTACAGCAGCCACAGATTTGTTTTTCATAGACTGCCAGTACTAATGAATGGAGAGGACATGAAAGGAAAACAAAAATACTGAAATCAACCTGCTTCACATGCCAATAGATGTATCTGCTCATAAACTTGATTAATTAAATGCAAACCGTTGTCAAGAAATGTTGTTCAGGGTATTTAAGCCCTCACTCTGACTGCAGCATCCAACCATGTGTGCAAGTATAGCCCTGGAAAGCTGCATAGGATTTAGCTCTGGGATCCTGGATAACAACTACTGCTGCACACAAACACAGGAGGGTGTGTATTTATGAAGAGGTCCATTTTACAGTGAAGAACAGCAGGTCCCAAAAGCTCTGCTAGAGCACGATTGGTTCAGTAAGATGTGCCTACTGTGCCTGTACAGTAGGGGGGTACAGCCACAAAATCAGAAGTACAGTAGGGGGGTACAGCCACAAAATCAGAAGTACAGTAGGGGGGTACAGCCACAAAATCAGAAGCTGGGCCCCATTTGGCACACAAATAACTCTGATTTTCAATGACTAGTTTTCCATCTAGAGATCATTTAATTTCAGACAGTGCTTCTGAGAAGATCTAACAGTTTTGAAAAGTTATCAAAATATATTCAATATTCAAGAAAATTGTTAAAACCCAGAGGGAATTTCATAGCATGGAGATCTGTGTTTGAAATATTCAAAGGCAGAGGTCATAATTAAGTACCACTTGGCTGCAGTGATCTGTTACATGTTCCCAGCAATGCATTCTTGCAATAAGATTGGAATGTTTGCCTTGTAAAGATTAGCTATGCTTTTAAAATTCACTGTGTCTCAGATCTGCCCAGCCTGAGACAGTTCTGTGGCAGTGCTGCCCCGACGCCTGTTAATGATAAAGTGGAAAGCCCTGTCCCAGGGCACTGGCACAGCCCTCGCAGAGCTGCTTCACGAGCCTTTGGAGGGCCATTTTTAGCGTTGCTCGCTGAAATCAAACCTGGCAGTGCACCTGGCAGGGTGTTTTTTTCTGCTTTTGAAGGATGGTTGGACTTTGCTCCAGTGGGCTCGGTGACCGAAGCAGGGCTGCACCACCGCTGCGGGTCAGAGGCTGAGCTCCAGCCATCACCTGGCTTTGCTTCTTCAGCTGCCACTGCTGCATTTTTTATCTAACATTAACATTTCAGTCATTCTCAGGAGAAGGTTAGCCTATTATGTATTAGGCTCACTGATGCTGCTGTTCTGCTCTGGTTAGCAACGCTGATTATGTAAAGGATATTTAATGTTGTAAATAATTAAAATACTTTACAAGATTTTGGCTATTTTTTTAGGGGAAAAAAAGAAATGAAAGAAAATGTATGCAGTGGATTTGTGAACAAATGCTCAAGTCTTCTAGGAAGTGGGGAGACAGTTAATAATATATAATTAACACATCTTCCTTTCTTCCCTTGTTGGTGCAGACATGCCTTTAGATGAAAAGCACTGAATATTAAAAGTGTGTGGGACAAAATAATGTTGTATTTTATGTAAGTTCAGCCTTGTCACCAGCTACATGCTGCATGTGTTACAGAGAGAGCAAGCCTGATCCTGCTCAGGGATCTCATCCACTGTACTGTCTTTATACAGGCCACCCCCAGGGTGCCATGGTGGGTTTTTTCCTCCAAAAGGAACTAAGTTATGGCCTAGATTTTGCTACGCTATTGAAGGAACTCAAGGTAGCTAAAAGGAATACGTATTATTAAGTCGCTCATCTACTTAGGAGTCAAACATTCCATTTGAAATTCACCTCATGTTTTTGTCAGACATCTCGAGGTGGCACATCACAGCTCAGCAGCCCAGAGCCAGGTTAAAGTGCTTTTTAATGGGTAACTGCAGAAGGGCACATCCATTGAGGAGGCTCATGAGCTCTCTGATAGGATCCAGTCGAATGTGAAAATTGAGGGATCACAGACAGCAGCAGCAGATATCCCTGCTGGCAGCAGCGCTCACCACGGCTCCCAGACCAGGCTGTTTCTTTTGGAACCATTGGTCACCTGCATTACAAACAACTGGCAAGGAACAGCCTTTCACACAGACCAGAGACTTCCTTGATGCTAAAAATGCATCCAGGATCTAATGAGATGAATAGCCTACAGAAATGCCAGGTGTGCCTGTACCGAACAGGCACCTCCACACAGTGGCAGGAGGCACTGCCCCATGCACAGCACGGTGCTCATGTGGATGAATGGAAATGTGTACTGTGGGACCAGAGCTTCCTAGGAACAGAATGATGCTCGCTCCTGATAACTGTAGGTGATGAGGTGCACACACAGGTGTTATACTAACATTTATAATTATGCAAATCCAAATAGATAAATGGGGGGGATGGTGTTTGCCAAGAATTAGAGACCGTTACTTGAATTTTACTACAACACATGTAAGCTGGTTTTGTAGCTGCTGGTTATTCAGGGATTGCCAGAATTTACTGAACTGCTTGTCAGAGTTATTGACGGCTCCAGGTAGAAAAGCTCTGACAAAAGGTCAGGGGCAGACGAGTTTCTCGCTCACCCCAAAGTTGACATTTGCAGCCTTGTAGCCCAGAGTAACAAAGGCACAATGAGCCACAGCCATTTAAGTCTTCAAACCTCCTTATTCCCTTTGAGAAAGCCTGGTCTGGTGTAAACCTTGCTTCCGTACAACAAATACGACAGTGCTGAGAGCATCACTGTGCACTGTCTGTGGATGGACTTCAGTGTTTTCCCCTACCAGGAATGTGCTGTTGAGTGTGGACTGTGTCACTGGACATCAGCAGGGACTTTTGGAAACAGTCTCATCTGAGAGGCTTTTATTAACTGCTATATGCTGATGCAGGAAATTCGTGTCAAAACATCCCTCATTTCAGTGCAGAGGGTTACTTCTGAGTCCTAGGTAGTTTCTTCAGAGAAAATACCAGCTCCAGCTGGCACCAGGAATCACAAGAGTGTTTTCAGTCCTGAGTATGCCCCAAACAGGATGCCAAAAAGCTGCCTCCTAACTAAAGGCCTCTCTCAGCATGCAGTAAATCCAAAATTTCATGGTCAAATATTTATAGATTCTACTTTTTCAGTTTAGGTATGTAAGTATCACACTAATCCTGAACCTCCCTCTGAGTGGACTAACAGAATAAAGGGAAACAAGACAAACATTTTAAAGCTCCACCTTCTGAAAAAAGAGTTTTTAAGATTACCAAGGCTTGATACCATATGTATAGATCAAAATCACATTCTTCTTATCAAAGGACAGCATTCACTTGAGTTCAGACTTGCAGCCACAAGGATGTTGGTTTTCTGAAGTCAATGAAGACAGCGAGACAAGAGATTTTACTTAAACTATATATTTTTACATAAAACAACTTTATGTTACAATAAAATCAGATAAAAATCACAAAGTTATATAATAAGTTCATAAAGAAAAAAATCAAGTTTTCCTTTTAGAGATATAAAACCCAGCATTTACTGCTACTAGGAGTCTAAATGTTAACATTGACTGTCTATGGTCAATTTGAAAAAAGAAAAAAAAGAGGAAAGTACTTTTTTACAGCAGACAAAATGATGAGGTAAGAGATGCTTTTATGATGATCCAACTGTAGTAAACACTTCAGTTTTCATTAAACCATATACTAAATATAATAAACCCAAATAAAAAGATACATTTAGAGCACTGCAGTGTTTTCCCACAGTTGTATACCAACAAATTGTCAGTCATTCACTAAACTTTACTTGAAACAGTAAAAACAGGGTGTATGTTTATCTTTAGTACTAAAATCTCATAATAATCTAAATATTTTGGTATAGCAGACCACACTAAAACACTCTCAGAACTTTCAACTACAAGGGATATAGCATGTTAAAAATGATGTGCTTTGTTTGCCATTCATGATGAGCTTTATAGAATATTATGTTCATGATCACTATTAGGCAATTAAATGAAAACATCTAAATGCTGCAAAATACTCTTTTATTGAGCATAGCTCCCTCATCACATATCAAAGTTAATCAGCACACTGCAAACTTAGAAACTTATTTCACAAATCTTACATATCGGTTCTTTTAGCTTTAGTATATGGCTAAAATAATTATTGCTGACCAGTGTTAAAAAAAACCCAAACAAATCCAACCCAAACAAAAATACACCAGCAAACAGATTTTTCTCAAGTGCCTTTCATGTGTGTACCATTAATATTAGTTACTAAATGAACTAAATTTCAAAATGTGCATATAAAATTTTTGGAGGTATAGGCACCTTCATCTGAAGACTGTATGTTCATGCTACCTGTTTAAAAAAAAAAGAAAAAAGAAAAAAGAAAAAAAAGAAGAGCTAAGACAATACACAGTAGAAAATCAAACAGGTTGGACATCCAAAATCCTCCAGGGACACAAGCAAAGCCCTCCTGGCCAGGATCAGCTCTGTCCACAGCCTGCAGGAGAGCCCTCATTTGGGAAGCACCTTTGTCATATTTATCATTCACCTCCTCACTCTATTTCACTTCAGGTACCTTATTATTTACCACAGAGAATGGTATTTAAGACGTGCAAACTTCATGTAACTGTCAAGTTTACATTCTAATAGCGAGCCTAAAACACTGTCAAGCTCCCAGGGCACAGGACTCCAGGCACAACATCCCTGGCCAGGCTGTGTAAGCCAGATGGGGCTCTCCCACTGGTGGTGTGTCTGGATTAAACATCCTGTGGCTACATATTGCTTTGCCTGACGCACAGGTGCTTGTTGAACACAATCTATGGAAAGAAAAATTACCTTAGGGTAGCTCTGTGTCTTACCATTGCTAAATTGTGTCCACAACCAGACCCTGCCAGCCCAGCCATGGAGTCCTTGCTGCCTTTCAGCCCCCGTCAAAAGCTGAGCCTGCCCTTATGCAAGGTCCCTGGTACTGCTGAGGCCCTGTAGGACAGCAACAGCTTTTTCTATTTTTGACTGCAACTGTGTGATCATAACCAGTGCTGCAACGCTCTCACACTGCTCAGCTCTGTGTGTGAGGACATTCGCCTTCCACCCCTCACATCACCACCTGTGTGATATGCTGAGGACTTTTTGATAATTACAGGCTTGACAAGTCCAGAAGTGCCTGAACAAAGGTGGGTGAGCTGATGGATCAGTGTGGCCATCCAGACCTTTGGCCCATCCACAGCTTGTGGGCAGAGCACCTTTCACCAAAGCCTCTGCTGAAACAATCATCGAAATTAGCTGCTGCTGCTGACCTTTCCTTACACCCCTTCCCTTTGGGTTCAGCATTGGTCACACACTAAGCTAAGTGAGGTGTTTCACCCTTATAGCAGTTTTATTTTTGTTAATCCATAGGCTCAGGAAGACAACACTATATTCTTTACAAGCCACTGATGCTTCGAAGGGTTTTGCAGAGATAACGCTTTGGAAGAGCCTAAGGAAGAGCATGGTCTTGTAGCTGAGAAACTCCCACCACTGCAAGGTGGTGGCAGTAACAGAGAATTTTCCTTCTGTTACTTATGAAGCCACCAAAGGTGGCAAAAAATTAATAAGGGAGAAAATAAACACTTGGGAAAAAAATTGAACAGCATAGAGAAGAGTGCAGAAGCCTAAGGACAATTTAGGCTTCCTGTGCCCAACAAGCCACCCAACAAACACAGGCAGGTGAGCACCTGCCTCAGCACCACAAATGCTTTGGCTGGTACCCTTGGAAAGCAATGGCAGTGACAACAGGCAGAACAGCAGAAACCCTTCCCACTCACCTTAATTTACTGGGTAGCTTTAAAAAAATGTTCTCTCTAAACTGTTCAGACAAAAAAAAATCAGGTGTTTGTCCAGAAAAAAGACATTGTTTAAAGAACATTTGTTTTCTGGGCACAGATGCACCCAGCATAAAACTGTTTTTAAAACGTGAATCTTTTGAATACTAGGATACAGAAAGGGAGAGGTGGCATGGAATTCCTTACAGGAAAGACAGTTTTCTTCCAGTGAGCTCACTTAGCAAAGGAGACACCAATTAGATGTAGATAGAACACTGTAAAGTACTGCTTTTGCTGAAAATACATTTTTAGGTCAAACAAAACTACTTGTGAAGTTGAGTCAAAATTGGCAAATAAAGATTCAGCCAAATAGTAAAAAAGAAAAAGGTTAACCTACTTTATTTTGAGGTGTGAAACAATGTTTCAGTTTTTCATTTTGAAATAATTTATTTCTAATATGAGACTAAGGTAATTTTCCAAAATGTGATGTAACATACCCAATGGAATATTAGATATGAAACAACTGAAAACAATTCATGTATTTTTATTTCACTGAATATTTTTTGGTTTTGTGCTAATATGAAGTAGCCCTGTTTATTTCTCATTTTGGCCACCAAAAAACATTCAAACCCCACCATTATTCAGCAGCTCTAACACCAGCTAAAAGAAGCGACACAGCCCAGAGAACAGTAAGACACTCTCTGCCCTGGTGTCACAAGAGGCCAGCACAGATTTTTCTTCCTAAAGCCTCAGTGTGGCAGGATCTGTGGTGGTGCAGCCAACAGAACTCAGCACAAGAAGTGCCAAGCACAAGACCTTTGTTAAAAAAAGACTGTGTAAGTGAGGTAGGAGAGATCCTGCCATCAACCACTTAGAGGGAGAAACCTGTGTCCAGAAAGGGAACTCAGGGTGGCCCAAGGTGAGACTCAGCCTCGTATAAAGACACCTCCAGTCAGGTTGGATGGAATTGGAGCACTGACCAACACATTGCTGATGGCATTTGGAAATAAGGATTTGCCCAGCACTGTATAACAAAACCAAAGTCTGCAGACCCTCTCTGGGACAGGGGTGAGCATTTCTTTGCCCCAGCAGCATCTGGGGCCATCCCTCAGTAGGTGTCTGCCAACTGAACTCAGGGCGCCCACAGGAACAGGCTGAGTTCCAACTGTGCACAAAAGGTGGATTAAATGCATCCATAGGATGGTGCCTGCATTTTGGTGGGGAAGGCTGGCTGCCCTGATGCTCCCACCTGGAGGGAAGAGGCATTTCAATGCATGGACGAGTTTCTGAGGAGTAGTGTGAGGCTCATGATTTGGCACATGGGTTATTGCTGGGCCATCACAGCGCGTCGAGGAATAAGCAGTGTGTGACACCGATGGTCCCTGCCCAGCAGCAGCATGGGATGCCAGTCCTGGGGCAGGAATGGGGCCAGGCCAGAGAGGGCAGCTGCAGCTGGTGCCCAAACATTCCTGAGAGCATGCACTGCCTCTTCCTAGTACACTTTTGGCTTTTGAAGAGGAAAAATACAATGAAAGAGAGAGAAAGGCTAAAAGAGATGGAGTTTGGGGAAGTTTTTAAGTGATTATACATAGAAGCTCTCAACTTGCTGCTGCTGGGAAGGAAAAAGTAAGAAGGCAATTATAGCAAGACCTTGGATTCTTAAAGGATAGAGTTTCCCACAGCATAGAGCTGTGTACAGGCATCCCTAACAACTCAGCATCAGAGCAATAGAAGATAACGAGCAAATACATACATTTGGGACAAGACTAGAAGAGACAGGGCAGGGATTTCTCTAAGAACACCCTCATCACTCCTCTGGTGGGCACAAAGCACCCAGAAATAACTGCCTGTGTCAAAGCTATGCACTGGCTTAATGTGCCAGCATTAAACTCCATCTGTTAAATCAATGCAATTCCATGGAAACACTTCTCTTGCAATTTAAGAGTGGCTTAATACATTCCTAATGAACTGGATCTGAGATAGACCTGACTAAAGTGGGAAAAAAGATCTGGATTAACCCCAATAAAATAATTTGTTCACAGAGTCTTTTGCATCCTTTTACCTGGAATCTAACATGCTAAAAAACATAGGCTATATTAAAACAAAGAGGGGAGCCCTAAGATTACTCAACAGGAAAAAGAAGATAGAGTGGAGTCCTTCATACAAAGGCAATGAACCACTGCGAGGAGTAGGGCTCTGACTGCCAGTACTTCTTGCAGCTCTTAGTTGTGTTATGCTGTGATTCCCAGCTGATGCAGGGTCCAAAACCAGCATGGGAGGAGAGGAGAAGCAGGATGAGCTGCCTGATAAATGCTGGTATATATCTGACTTTCTATCAGATAAGGAGACTAAAAACGGAGACTACTTGTGCAGAACCACACAGAGTTTCTGATGTCATTTTCATTTTGAGAAGTCTGATCTAACCCCCACATTATGCAACTGTTGAATCTTCCACACTGGCAAAGTCTAATTTTCACACGCCTACATGTTATGTACCTGATCTTTATTTTTATTTTTAAATATCAAAAGCCTACAGTAATTTTGTTTTAAAGAGACTTAAATGGTCATAATGGTTATGAAAGGTCCCAGCTTCACATCCATTGTTTAAAAGGAGTAAAAGCAAAAATACTCAGAGTCCAGTCTGAAAAACAGGTAACGAAGATAATGTAACAGATGAAAAGAAAATTCAAGGGACAATTGCAGACAGACCCTATCCCCACCATGGGGATTATATATTCAGGTGCAAAAAAGTATTCAATGCATGTTTCATCTATAACCTATCTTTCTTTCAAAGGTCACTTTAATCATCGAGATGTGCCAAAAAAAGAAAAAAGCCCCTAAATTAAAAAAAAAGCATGGCAATTTTACATCAGTCACTGCTGGAAAGCACTAACATGGTGCTTAACCAAGAAGCAAGTAATAATATCACATAAACAAAAGTACTTTCCTGAATTAATTCAGATCCCATGTAAATACTCACAAACCAGGTTGTGAAAAAAGAAGAGAAAGAAGCTGAAGGAAGTCCTAGGGAAAGAGCAAAACTTGGCTGGATTCTCCTCTCTGGCCCGTTTTACATTCCTATCTGTAATTAAGTGAACTTCCTTCTCACTGGAGGCCAGGGTATGACCTTGCATTTCTCAAAACACCCTTAGAGCTGCTGAATAACCAGTTCAAGAATACAACAGCACTTCTGCATCTCAGGTTGGGGTGGGGGTTTTTTTGTACATTATCACTTGGTGACTAATTCTCACCCTACTGCCAAAGAATGCAGAAATCATAGGAAAGGATTTTTATTTCATGTGGTCATGGCCCTGACAGACTTGTGGGCAGAAACTTGCTTCTGAGTAGCACCTTCAAGTTACCTTATAATGCTTTCATGCATTGTCTCCTTCTTCACTGCTGCAGAAGTTAATCAACAGTGATCAAGTTGCACAGAGGGGCATGAGTCATGTACAAACCAGCAACAAATTACTTTTAAAAATAAATATCTGGTCCCCAGACTCAGGTGGGCATAATGAAGGGACTGTATGGGTTCAAAACTGAAGGCTAAAGAGAGGTGATGCTGCTAAGCAAGAGAAGCTGTCCTCACCAACTGGGTAAGACTCATGACTTCAAGAGCTGAAACTCATTTCTACATCATTGACTTTGTGCTGTATGGGTCCAGGCAAGCAAATGTAACCTCTGTCAGAGGTTATCTGAAATCCACTGCACTTTGGGGTTTTTTGGGGGTTTATTTTTTTTTTTTTTGGTGAATTAGGCCTGATTGACGTGGTCCCTACAGATCCTGGTATCTGTGTGAAGTGATTCACTTGACTGCAGCTCACCACAGGCACATTTTACAAACTGCAGGAGCTCCAGATAATCTCTCTACTCCTCCAAGGAATAAAAGTCTTTGTTGCTAAGAGTGCTGATAGTTTGGACAGGAAAAAGACTTGTTTTCTGTTTCTATGGTTGCAACAGCCCTTAAGAAAGATATAAATTTCCCTGCAACAACTAACTGCATATTCATTTTAAGGTAGATCTAGTTCCAGATTCCTGAGACAGAACCCTCTACCTGTTCCCAACCCCACAAAGCCAGAGCAGCAATATAGAAAGTTTCTAATCTCAACAGAATTCAGTGAGCAGCATGATTGGTTTGGTAAATAAACAAACAAAACAAGAAACCCACCAAAAAAACCCCCACAGCAAATGTTCAGCCTCTATGTACAAAACCAATGCAAACAAGTGGAACATTCTAGTTATATTTCGTAAAACACATGTTTGGGATCAACAAAACATCAAACATCCAGACCCTAGATTACAAAAAAGATCTATTGCCATCTAATTGTCAACCCCAAGTTTAGACAGTCCTTGTCGGAAATCATGTAATTCATCTATCTTCCCGTCTAGTACATCTAAAAAATTCTTTAATTCAGTTTTAAGGTTGGTCTGCCTGTGTTTACTCTCTTCGACTTCTGTCCTTAGTGTTCTGACTTTCTCTTCAAGATCTTTGTTCTTTTTCTCAGCAGCCTTAAAGACAAAAGGACAATAAGAGGAATCATAGAGATGAAGGATGAACAGCATTTCATACTTTAAAGCAACAAATGGCAGCTGGGCTGTGCAAGTTTGCTTCAACTTCTGCAAACTGATTAACACAAGCACCTTTGAAAGCAACAGACATGTGCTAGTCCGATTAAAAGGAAAGAAAGCCCATACAGGAAAGGACACAGATTAACTGGAAAAGATGCTTTGCATCAAACTTTGTCATTTGGTTGATATCTTCAAATTCAGCTGGATTTAATTCACGCACTGCGCATACATTTCTGTCATTGCTATAGTTGCAGAATTAGACACTGTGCCACCAATTACATACAGAATTATCTGTGGTGGGTTAACCTTGAAAAACAAGCTTAGAAAATACTGTCTGAGGAATAAAGTTGCTTTATTCAGCACTTTTGGATTTATTGGTAAAGTTCCACTTTGTGTGAGCACTCAGGCAAGGAACGGGGTAGCCAGGTAACTCTTCCCTTGCTGCACTTCGTTCAACTATTTTCCCCTCTCTTACACTCTTCTGCGTATTCTTCTCTATTTCATGCATGTAAGCTCATGCTTATTCTCACAAAACCCACAGACCACATCTTCCACCACACTGAACCAAACAAAATTCATATTTTAGCCATTTCCAGCATCTGCATTCCTCAGCAGCCTTCTAAAATATTTTAGATCATTTAGGTTATCAGAGTGATGGGATTTATTGACTGGATTTCACTTCATTGATGAGACTGCTAATATTTATTCTCCTTTCATGTATTAATTCATTGCATTTAAACAATCCCTGACTTGAGGAAGTGATGCCCAAAGTCCAGCTGCTGGCTGGGGCAGGGCTCCCACACCCCGTGAGCTTGGCTCCAAGCGAGCACCTCCCAGCAGAGGAGCCACATGTGCACAGCCAAATGCTGCTGGAAAGGGATGACACAGCACATAAATGCATCCTCAGGTGAACTTTTATTCCTGATGGTGTGCAGCTATGCTCATCTGTTTCTTTCCCAAAAGCCTTCCCTGGTGCCACTGCAGCAATTAGCCCCAGGTCTTGGATTGCTGCTCAACACACAAGGCTGTGGTGCGGCTCAGAGCAGCAGAAAATACAGGATACAGGACAGCCTGGAATCTGCAGGAGATAGATGAAACATGATCCCAGGCAAACCAATTTCTACAAAGAGCAAGGCAAAGAAACGGAGCTATTTAATTACTCCTATGCTGGGAAGGGCATGGTGTATTTTGCATGTAATTAGCATTTTTTGCTTTTACAAACTGGAGCTCTTTTGCCTTCAAACACTGAAGTCTGAGCAGAGAAATGCATATAGCTGTGAGTAAGAAAGTAAATGTACCAATTTTTTTAAAATTAATTTCACTGCTAAACTGTACCTGTAATTGTTCAGATACAGATTCACATTCTGACATTAGCTCTGGTATAATTTCACCCTGCTTTCGGAGTTCTTCCAGTTCCTTTAAAAACATAAAAGAAAAAAATAATATTAGTGCAAGTTTCAATTTAAAACATAATGGAAATTTGAGATGATGAAATGGCTTTGCATATTTTATTGTATTCTGCACAGTATTTGGATGGAAAATAACCAAAATAACTTGTCTGCATTCCAAAATTGCTAATTTTCTACTTGAATACATTTTTTCACTGAATTTTATACTTTGCATTTCTAAAACAGACAATGCAATCCAATCTCTAGCATGAATGCCATTAATTAGATTAATGAAATCTTAACCTAAACCACATACCTATGCAAAAGATATATTAAATAACAGAGAAATCTGAAGGACTGTAATGCTATAAGCAATTTATAGATGGTAGCAAAGAGCAAATCACACGTACATTTTCAATCATATATGACAGCAAATAGAAAGGCCAATGGCAATACCAGCTGCATATATAGAGGCATCATACAGAGCACAGCTGTAATGGGCTCTCCTCCATGGTACAGCTCTGAGAATCACTCCCCTCCCCAAAAATCTGTATTTGGTTCTGGCATCACTAGCTAAATACAGCAGATTAGCTGAAAGGAGTTAACAAAAAGAGCAACATGCCTTGATAGGAGTCCATGTCTCTGTTGGAAATTAAGACAACTTGACTACATGAATACCACAAATGAACACCATCAATGTGGGTAGTAGGGAAAGACTCAAAGAAAGGCTATACATTTTTGCAAAAAGATTGTTTGAGGAATCTGAAAAACACATTTGCAACTCCAAGAGAAACTCTGACCTGAAAAAGTGCAAGATCCTTCTCCAGAAACTGCCCATGGTTATGGTCTCAAGAGTAAGCAGGGGTATATCCCTGCACTACCTGGACTTGTGTAAAGCACTTGACAGTGTCCCACACAACATCCTTGTCTCTACATCAGAGAGATATGGATTTGATGGATGAATCACTTGGATAAGGAATCAGCTGGATGGTCACATTCAAAGAGTTGCAGTCAACAGCCTGATGTCCAGGTGGAGTCCAGTGACAACTGGTGTTCCACAGGGTTCAGTATTGGAGACAGCACATTTTTTTACTCCAGATTTTTTGTGAACTGCACTGAAGAATTTAACTAATGTAAGAGTAACTATATTCAGACAATGTCCCAGCTACTGACATAGAGGAAAGAAAGGGTAACTTACCCTTTGTTTTGAGATATGAACTCCTGTGCATATATATCCATATCTACATAATGGCTTAGAACTCACATCTCAAAATATAAATATATTAATACGATATATACACTTACTATATATATAAATACTATACTGTATACTTACCATATATAGTATAACACAGTGTATGTACATTTATATACACACTATATATGGAGTGTGGCATATGGCATATGACATAGATATACACAGAAATAAATATTTCACTAGATATGTCTGTCCTGATTTCCATGTCTTTACGTTTCTCTCTCCTCATTTCCTACATGAAAAGGGTATCAACAGCTTCTCTTACGCAGCAATGCCCATGAGCAGACTTCATGTGGGTTTGAATTCCAGACCATGAAAGGTTATTACTTATGGGTAGTTTAGAGCTAATCGAGAACCTGCTAATGTAAGCATGAATTTTTAAAACAAGTTAGCATATTGTCAGCGTAAATGCAAGACAGGCATGTAATATTTACAAGTCAGTCTATTTTCTAGCTCACTTGGCACTGTAAAAACGTGAATCTTGAGGAAAACACTAGCAGAGAATAAGGGTTATGATACATGCTATTGCCACAGAAAGGTAGGGAAGAAAGAATGACATTTTCCTTTGAAATACAGGGTTGAAAAACATTACATTTATAACAGTGCATCAAAATCCATCTCCCTAAACTATTTCCTTGTGCCACCATAAAATCCCTTAAGAGCAGTGCTTTTAAGAGAACCAGTAGAGATGCTTTAATGGCACATGGCAAACTTGACTGAGCTGCTGACAGCTTTTTCTCTTCAGCCAGCACAGAGCACTTGGCCACTGTAACAATGGAAAAAAAAGAGGATCCCATTTTTTTCCCCACTATCCAGGGGTTTCAAGCCATCATCATAATCCTCCTTAGAAAAATTAATACCCTGTATGTCAAAAATTATAAACTGGGGTACTCCAGATGAATCTGAATTTCTCACTCTTGGTATTAGTCCTGAGACCAGAGGGAGACCATAGAACAGCAAAGCTGAAGACTATGAGCCATCCAGAAAAAGAAACAGGACTTGTTACACAAATGCCAAGTTATTTTGTAAATGATGTCTTTTTAATGATGGTCCTAATGTCTACAGGAATTTTGGGCATGGGGACTGACAAATGAATCTGTTCTCAGCATACATCTGTCTGGCACTGGGCAACAAATTTCACCACTCTGGCTCTTCTATTGGGAGTAGTGTTGTATACATGAAAGTATCATGTTTGTTAACCCCTGACAAATTAAACTGTGCCATCACAGCACATAACACATCGTGAAACTGAGACAGAGGAACTCTATCAAACTGTTGCTAAGGAGTTGTACATGGAAAACCTAGAAGCAGGCAACCCAGAAACACTAGGTTGCTTCTGATTGTAGGTGAGCCACTCCATAAATCTACACCCCAAGAGAGAAGCAGACAGACCCACTCAAACATGAAAATGCCACTTCAGTGTTCAGGACACTCACCAGCTCTTTGTCCTGAAGTTCTGTTTCCAGTTCTTGGAGACGTCTACTCAGTTGGGCATTTCTTTCCTTCTCTTTATTTATTTCATTGCACTGTTCCTCCAGTTCTTCAATCTTTAAGAAATATCAGACATCAGGTGAAATTTTTCAATTTTCTGAAAGTCTGGGGCATGATGAAATAGGCATTGGATCTGTTTCCTAAATCACAGCATTTGATTCACCAAATTATCACTTCTTTCCTTAAAAAGAGCAAATTTACACATCCACTAGGAAGTCCTGGGTCTGTATTTATTCTCTGTCACAGTCTCTCATGTGAGTACTCAGGAATGCACAAAACACTGAGCTCCTAAAATAAGTGGAGCTGGGGATAAAATCTGCACTTCACTTCTATGAAATCAACACAAGACTACAAGGGATGGGTTTTCTTAACACAACAAGGAGAAGAAATATCTCCATCACTCCCAGCTTTGCCTCCTTGGGGGTTGCTTATTATTCTAGCTGGAGTACAAGGGACAGAACATCAAAACTGCAGGGGAAGAACCAGTTCAGAGCAACGTGAGCCACTTTGTTCTCTCGCCCAGGGAGGTGCTTTGCTCTCTCCATGCCTCCTCCTGCCAGCTCTGGACTCAGCTCCCAGGAGATGCACTTCCCACAGGCCAATGGGCCAGCTCATTAAAGTACGTACTTTAATTCTCAGCTTCGTGTTGCTTTGGGATTATAACTTCACTCATATGAAGGTAGAGCAATATGCAAAAAATTCTGACCTATTTAATAAAGGAGAAGGAAGTTCCCAGGGCGCTGCAGTGGTGCAGTGTGAGTGTTGAGCAAGGAACCTACTTGGGGAAAAGCTCAGAAAACCTCCCTCTATAGAAAAAGATGGTACATTATACAGACAGCACTGCTGCAGTCTGGCTAGTCACTGGCATGATGACTTTGCAGCTGTAGCAAGGCAGTGTTTTAATAATGTCTTCATATCTAGTACAGCTACTGGGATGTATCATGTTTCATCAGTTAATTTTAATTAGAACAACTTTTGTCTGCAACAGTATAGGAAACCAAATAACTACACTACAAATTATGCCATTTTCTTATAATATACTGTTCCAGTCTCTCACTTCCCCCTTGTCCACAAGAGACTGGATATAGGAACTCAAATCAAGTAACAACTAATATTAATTTGTTAGTATAACATCAGTTAATATGGTTCTGGTTTGATCTCTGCATTACCACTGTGCACACAGAACATGTGAGAATAGACAGCTGAGTATCTGCCTCAGGAAAAAGATTGCTCCACATGGATTTTCAGTGCCAGCAGACAACCCAAACAACCTCCAACACTGAAATACTACTTGCAGCTACTGACACACAGAAAGGCATGAAATTTCTTCCTTCTTTGAAAGTAAACACTAAACGAAAAATATCCTCATCAGACTGATACAATCTGATCTCTAATTCAAATGTCCCAGTGATCCATCTAAGCAAGAAGGAAAAGGATGCAGCTTTTCCAAGACATTTAGGATGAATAAAGTGAAATCATCCCTTCAGGCAGTGCTCATGGAATCCAGGCTCTCCTGTGCCCAGGTTGGTGCCAGTCCCATGTGGAGCTGTTGCAGAAAATGCAGTATTATCTGAGGGATGGTACCAATGACTACTCTAAACTGAGACTTCACAAATTTAAACCTCTGAGTTGTTCTCTGTTGTAACCATTGCTAACCCTCCATCTTAACACTACTGAGAAATGTGCTCAGTAATGAAGGGCAAAAGGCTTTTGACAGTGCCTCTTGGCAGGTTTCTGGATGTGCCAGGTGTTAGTGCTGGAGGACCCGGCTCAGAGCCCACAGTGCTGAGGAAATAACTCAGATCCTCATTCCTCTGCATGTTGTAGGGATTGGCTTCTAATACTGAGTGGTTCCCAGCTTGGTTTCCTCTGAGTAACCAGGTGATAACCATGCCTTCTGCTCATTCATATCTATCAGCATTTCAGTGAGCTTAGAAAGGAATATGCAACAGTAACCCCACTTTTAAAACCTTTCTGGTTTATGATCCCATCCAGCAATGCCTGCTGATGCTAAGACTCTCGAGGCAGCAAGCTTCACGTGATGGAGCAGCATTAGTCTTCCTAGTCTGATCCCCAGTCCTTTGAACCTCCCTGCCTGCTGCACACAGAGGGAAGCAGCTGCCTTAACTCCCCATCCAACTCCCTTTCAAAGATAAAATCCACCTCCTAACACACACAACGAGAAAGCTGCAAAAATCCAAGAGAAGGAGCAATGGCAGGAGCAGCTAACTGGAGGGGATGGCTCTCCTGTGGGTATGCTCTGCTACCTTGCTCCTCAGCTGGTCATTCTCCTCCTTGCAGGCTGAGAACTGCTTCTTCCAGTGCTCGATGCTGGCTGCAGACTCCTGCAGTGCTGTGGACAGCCGGGCGTTGCTCTCCCGCAGTGTCTGCAGCTCCGTCTCCCACTTCTTCACATTGGATGAACTGAGAAAAACAGGATGCCATGAGGTGGTTTCACCTTCTACTCCTGTGAATCGTTATTCTTTACCTTGTATGCAAACTCATCTACCGTGGTGCGTTGGCCATTAATTTGTTGCAATAAGATGAAGAACACTCAGATATATGTAATTCCTTTTAGACTCTGCATGCCTAAGGAGAACATAAGCCTTAATTTGACAGTCTCTGCCAAAACAAAGGGATCTACCAACTCCAGCAGCAGTGACCTGTGTGTCTGGAAGAAAAGCCCTGCTGTCAGAGGAGGCTGTAGGGTCCAGCTGGGACCCCCACCATTTGCACACAGGGGTCTCAGCCCAGTGCAGTGCATGGGCCCTGTCACCTCCCGAGCTGTGTGGCTGTGCCTCACCTTGCCTCTGCTGCAGCACAGGCTGGGGACCTGGCACCCCTGCAATAAAGCCACTCTGCACATCTGCAGATGGCACAATAATTCAGACTGGAGGATTTTAGGGCATTGACATGATCTATATTTGAATTTTTTTTTAATGCTGAGTCTTAACTATAAAAGTGTTACATAATGCTGCAGAATTAAACTACTCATTCCCCAAAGCTTTGAGCTGCAGCACAGAGCACAAGATTAGAGGGTGAATGGGTGGAAGGCTTTGACACTCCCTGTGTGCTAGTTGCTGCTTGCCTGTAGAGGTGTCTTCAGCAGGAGGAACAAGCAAACATTATGGTTTGAAATAGTTTATGCTATTAAAATGTCAATAAAGAGAGATGATGTACTTCAAATATAATATATGCAACCTTGAAATTGCTCACAGGGTAACGCTGCTTATGATGCTGCTTTATTTTTTAAATACCTTTTAAAGAGTAGCTTGATCCTATTAGATTTCCTTTCCATTCACAGATACATTCATATGCAAGAGGCAGACAAGGCAAGATCCCAGTAGAGAATTATTCTATTTTAATGTCATAACTTTGCATATTGCAACGCCTGTATTTTCACTACAGCTGCAAATTACTCTTCTCAGCATTTTCAAATTATTTATCAAAGCAAATAGCAAAAAATGTGACTTCAAGGGGCTCTGTCCAGTTCAGAAACATCCCCCTAAGACTTCCAGGCAGCTTGATGAAAATATATTTCTCGCTTCAACTTTTTATGGTTGAGTTCATTCCCTTTTATAATTTTAAATATCCATATCTATTTTCATCAAAGTAAGTGTAGCAAACTCAAAGAGGAAGAAAGATTGCCTTCACATGTTATCAGCAGCAATTGCTCCCCTATGGCTTTAATGTTATTTCTGTAGTTCTAAAACTTCATGAACAAAGGGGGTTATAATAGTTGGCATGAGCAGAATAAAAGAGAGCTTATTTCTTCACAAACTGGATCAGGAATACATGAAATGGTAAATATTTCTCAACTGGATACCAGGAGGAACTTGCTAAAATCTGCTCATTCATCCATTCTGCTGCACCACTTTAAATTAATGCAATTACACTTGAATAATTTCTGTTAATATCACTAGCCATCAGATAATTACAGCACACTATTCCAATGCAATTTAGGTTTAAAGGAACTTCACCTTTGGGCTAGAGCAATTTTTAATTTATCATTCTCAGACTTGAGATGTGCCTCAGCAGGGCCACCATGTGATGCCTTCTCGTCGTCTGTGCCGTTCACACTAGAAGCTCGAGTGGAGGATGGTGTTTCACGTCCAGACTCCTGCAGCACAACACACAAACGAACACTGGGTGTCTCCTGCATCTCCTGCAAGACCACAACACCAATTTCTTTGCAATCTTGATCCCACACCACTTGGCTGAGACCTCGGCTCTCCTGGCAGAACAGTGGTAACACACACATACCCTTTTCATCTTGGCTGCAAAGCTGGTCTGTTTAAAAAGAATGAAAAAATTAGAATGATACACAAACGGAAGTTTAAAGTGTTCAAAAATTTTTAAAGTTTTTTTTTTCCCCTGATAAGGCTTGTGTTTTCTAAAGGTTGTTTGGGTTTTTTTAAGATAATGAAACAATACAGTGCACCTGGAAGCATGTAAAGCCCAAACTGACAAACAAACAAACAAACAAATACTGCTCTTTCAAACAAATACTATTCACACAGTGCTTGGGGCTGATCATCAACAGAGAACAAAGTGAACTACAAAAACCATGACCAAAGTCTTTATAAAATAAGTATACAAAATCAGCCGCTCAGATCATTATTTGTGGACCCCAAAAAGGAGGGTAGTTTCAAGACTAAAAGCATTCAGCAGTTTTTTTCTGATCATGAATCTGAATTCCTCTCTGATCAAAATCTGTCTGACTTTTCTCCAAACACTGGCCCAGGCCAAGAATGTCTGCTGAGCAGGGTTCACTCTTACCTAATGAAATGCACATGAAAATACAGCCAACCACATAGAGAGACTGGGACAACACTCAATTCCTTCAGTTTGTAAGAAACCCAGACCTCCCTGGACACAGAGGCACTTGGTGATAAGAGGTGTGCTGCCTAGAAAAGTGTACTGTACAGATATACAACACAAGCTTCTTCCAGCCACTCCTAAAGCACTGCCTCTGTTCCCACAGCTTCCCATCAGCCACACCTACGCAGGGAAACACTATAGCCACAAAGTCAGGTTCTCCACTAGCAAATCAAACACCTACAGAAGTGGATTAGACAGATGACAAAAAGAAGGATCTCGATGAATCTCATTTACTGTCTGCTGAAGCACTACACTGACTTGATCTCCAATGACTCAAACTCTCAAACTATGCGTAACATTACAAATCAAAGGATGTATAGCTTCCCCTGTTATTAAAAAGGCTATAACAGTTCAAGAACTGCTGAAAAAAATTAGATGTAAATGAAAGCAAAGGGCATAGAAGGATGAAAAGTATTCCTCTGACAATGCTAGTGTCCAGCATCTGACAATTACCTTCAGCAATCTCCATTTTATACACTTCAAGTTGGCTGCCAGAAGCTGGCACAGTTCATTAGGAAATTTAACTTTAAACTATTTATCCTGTATGTGTATAGGCATTAAAGCTAAATTACAAACCTGGGAATGATTGCTTGAGGTCTCAATTTTTTCTTGAGATCTGTCTCTTGCTAGTTTGGCAGCCTCTTTTACTTCTTGGAACTTCTCTGCAAACTGGAAAAAGCATGAAAGATATTAAGTTGATTTATCTATTAAATCATTGAGATTACTATCTCTATATGGTTCACAGATCTCCAAAAGTGAACAACTAATTTTATTAATTTAAATTTTTTGGCATGAAAAAACATCTTAATTCTTTGGCAGGGAGGTTCTTTCAAAAGGAATGGGGATGTTTCTAAAAGAGGGATATCTCTGTACCTCTGGCTGACCACATTAAAACCCATAGAGGAAAAGGAGCTTTTAGTGTCTCCTGGTTTATTTCCTGCCCCTCTTCTGTTTCACTTGGTGTTGATGGTCTATTAAAGATGAAAGTACAAAAGACATATGTTTGGATAAAAATATTATCAATGTCTTCTATTCCTAAGAGCAAGTAAATTAAATTAAAGAATGCAAATAAGCTCATCTGCAGAATGCAAGCAAGGGATTATCAAGACACAGGAAAAATGAGAAGAAGGTAGATCTGAATGCATGATGGAGTCCTATGAAAACACAGCTTTTCTGGTCTAATTTTCTTATTACTGGCAAAAATAAATGCAGAAGACTTCAGAGAAAGGCTTGAATGCTTCCTGTAAGAGGGTTATATCAAACTGGGGAAGGTGAGGGGAAGGAAAGATAAAGATGGGAAAGTACAAATCCCAACCTCTGCAAGTTGTTGTAGGACATCTGCTCCAAAGTCAGCCTGGCACTTTTGAAATACAATTATCATCACAGCCAGTCAGGGTTGCAGGGTTTCAAACACCCTAAACAGTGTTTAAAGTTTTAAAAGGAGGATTACAAAGATGGGAAAAAAAAGGTGTAATACATAATTTATTTTTTAAATTAAGATGTATCCAGTATAAGGATGGGTAACTTCGTCTTTCAGCTAAAGCAGCTTGGTCTCGCTTGCCTGTGTTTTGAGAAACTTGAAATGCCAGAAAGGTAGGACATATTAAAAGTAAAAATATAAATAGATGTATTTTATTGCACAGTTTGTGAATGAAAAGATTGCCATTATATCCTTGGATAACTCAGAATACTTATGAAAAAACTATAAATAAAAGCATGAAAAAACACATCAAATTTTATAGTTGAGGAATACGAAGAATCATTACCCACTTACTAATCTTATCTTCTAACTTTTAGATTTATGGCAGGTATTTAGCATGCTCTCTGTCAGTAAAATATTGAGGCTGTAAAGACTGACAAAACAAATCTTCTCCATTTGGGCTAAAAGAAATATGGATTCATATGTGAAGGCACCAATGTTTTGTATAATACAAAAAATGGTAATTTCCAAAACACACACGCACACATCAGTGTTAAATCCCATGGACAAGCACACTGTAAAAGCTGAGCGAAATTTTGGGTGTACTCTACGATCTGTGAGGATGCCTATGAATGAAGATGGAGCTCTGGAATCCAGCTGTTTTCGTTACAGCAGCTGACATTGCATATGCAAAGCTCTTGTGTGCTCTTGGATGGCAGCAGTTGCCATCTGATGGCATGTGCAGTCGCTGCACACACAAACGACTTGATTACCTCTGTAGCACTTTACAGATCATTAAGAACAAGCACATTTGTGCCTTAAGTGATTTAACTCCAGCTTTACACAAAATGTATCTCCTGCTGTGACAAAACAGCTATAACCAGCTGATTATTTCTAAAATATTATATCAATAGTAAGTTCTATATTTGGGTTTCTTCAAAATAGCATTAGGCTGGTTTGAGTCTGTCTTTTATAATAAATCTCTCTCTCTCTTTTACAATAAATCTTTTCATCTTATGTATGAAAAACTTATGAGGGTTCTTCACGGGCGATATGAAATGTGAAAAGATAAAAAGAATTGGGAGTGATCTATCAAATTTTATTTTTGCAGCTATCTTCATAAAGCACACAGGAGACTTCTGTGAAAAATTATGTGAGTTGAGAAGAAAAGGGCATTTTTTTCTACACTTCCATAATAAAAAAATGTTAATCTTCAATACTAAACCAATAACGATCTCATTGAATAATAGAGTTCAGTCATGTCTGGAACACCAATAGAAGTATTTAACACATTTCCTTTTAAAAACAAGTACAAATAACTGATTTTTTTTCACTATCTCAGTAACAGATCTTTGGTTTTAAGCATCAAAATATTACCCTTCCTTCTTATGGTTGTTACAGACATAAAGATGGTTGTAACAGAAACAGAGGTGAAAGACTGACTCTGGGTTTTGGTTACCCCTCACACTTGGAAACAGTCAGTCCATAAAGAGTTTTGCTGCAGTTTCTTAGCTAATTAATACCTGCTCGATTTTACAACAGTCTATTTTTGAAAGCTACAGAGGATCACTTGGCTTGTTATGAAATTAAAGCCTTTCACTTGATCACTCTCCTGAGCGCAGCAAGGCAGTGGTGACAGCCCACACTTGTGCAGCACTACCAACTCTAATTTTTACAGGAACACAGCAGGCATTTCTGGAACCTCCCAGATCCCGAGGCTGTTGGAGAGTGTCAGAACAGCCACAGGGCCTAATCACTGTCAGATACCAGAGAGCTGCTTTTTCTCTAGTAACTGATTTCTTCTGTCCCAAACATAAATAATTGACAAATAATTGGTACTGCAAAATCACATTCCACCTCCAAGATCTAAGTAGACTTTGAGCTGTCAAACCATTGCAACAAAAGGGAGTACTTTTAAAATGTGAAATTCTTAGTTAAAAGGTTAAAGAACAGTCTGTTCAGTAAATGAAAGCTTGGTAAGCATGGTTGCAAAGGGCAATGAAAGTATAAATATATGAAATCAACTTAAAAATTCATTATGCTCCTTCTCCTTCCATCTTTACTTTCCTCCACGCTTGCTGTTGGTCAGACAAAAGTCCCCAAAATTAGCAAAAAACAAAAGACTGGAGTAGGAGAAACAGTAACTGAACATCCCTCCAATAGTCTATCATGGATTATAGGGTATGTCTTCCCATGCCCCAGGAAGCTGTGAGATTAAGCTGCAATATGGAAAAGATGTGCTGTTACCAACACTTGTGAAGCCTTTTAGTCAAGTGGCTGCAGCCCATGAGCAGTGCTTGATTAGGAAGCTTGGCCAGCGAAAATTAATGTGCATTGCACAGATTATTTAAAGGATGTTCAAATCTGTAGCCAGCTTGTCACAAGGTGAAATATATATATATTTAAATAGACCTTCTTAGCATTTTATACATTAAAAAGCATGATCTTGTATGCATAAATTTTAGGGTCCTGGTCTGGCATTATATTTTATGTCTCCTACTGACAAATTGTGCCAGTGCTGGATGAAACAGCTGCTCCCACCCAAAGCAGGTTCATAAATATTTCATCTCCCTCTCGGTTTTTGGAAGGCTGGGTGAGGTGACGTCCCCGTTGGGGAGAACTGCTGTGCCATGACCCACAACGCACCCATGCTTCTCCCGTGGTTTTCTGTAGATAAGTCCTCAGTAGGGGCAGATTGACAGATAACAAGACTATTTACCCCAGAAGTGGCCAGTAATGTGCTCTATGCCAGCCAGTGCGTGTCCAGCTCTGATGCTGGAGCAGGGGCTGCACTGTGTGCTGGAGGCAGGGGCAGGCTCTGCCCTGAACTTGCTTCCCTGCAACACAGTGACCCCCCCACACATAATGAGCACGTGTGCATATAAATAAAGTCCAGTGCTTCCCAGGTGCTGGATGCAGTTGGTTTATGATGTGCAAAGTCTGGGTTTGCTGGGTTTCTCACCCGTGTAAATCTTCGTCCCTATGACCTTGACTAACTGCAGCTCCTCAGATAGCATGTCTCCCTCAAAGCACCCTGAACGACTTCCTTAACTGCTTCAGGTGCAAAATACAGCACTACCTTTAGAGCACCAGCCCTGCCTTTTCACACCCAGACACCCCATTAATTTCTTTGGATTCCTGTTTCAGTTTGGCTGTAGCAATGTTTGAATAATGTCTTGAGACCCTTCTGAGGCACAGGGTAGGAAGGGGGAAAAGGAGGGTCTGCAAGTCCTGCAAGAGGGAAAAAAGACCCTGAAAAGGACATCAACTTTAAGCCCCGGGATTCTCCCAATCAATGTGAATGGTAATTAGGTTACTGGGTCACGGAATGCAGTTTTCATTAATGGCTCATGTTTAATTTGAACTGCTTTTCCCTATAGGTATGGATTAATACTTTAAGTATCTCAAGAGAAGCAAGGCATTAGAATGAGGCATTTTCTTTTATTAGGCCAAGCAATATACTTAAAAATGCAGGCATTTTTAGGCGTGCTAATCTCTTCTCCTGTCTCATTATTATTCATTGTTTTCAGCAGACATTTTTCAGCTTTATTTATTTATATTTATTTTAAGCCAGGGCTATTGATCTCTGGTTTAGTGGAGTTTTAGTGTGTCCTTCCAATTCCTGACTAAGCACTTCAATTATTTCCCGTAAAACAGGCAAGCTTTAATTTATATCTTTTATAAGAGTATAACGATATTAACATAAAATGAAACTTGATTTTACTATTCCCAATACAGTTATACATCTGTAATCTTGCCACCAGCTCTGATCTTTCTTACTAATGGTTCAATAATTAAACAGGAAGCATGGACGATAAGGAGTACCTTTATCCCATTGCTTTGCATGGTAGTAATAAATCAGGTTTTCTTACTTTTTCCACTTAGGTAACTGTCAGAGTTTTGGGTTTTCTGTTGTTTTGGGTTTTGTTTCAGGGTTTTTTTTGTTTTGTTTTGGCGTGGGTTTTTTTTTTTTAGAGATCATCTCAAGCTATTTTCAGAAGTTCTCCCCTTAAGCTCCCTCTCAATATTCTGACCAGAAGTCTTTCTGCTGATTTGGAAAGCTTTTCATGCAAGTAGAAAGCTATATTGTAGGCAGTGGGCTCTTCAGCAGATTATGCAGTGCAAACAGATATGCAAAATGATCTGGAGAGAAACACAGCTGGTGCTGAGGTCCTTGTGCCCATACAACATGTTTTTCAAATTGGCTCTACTCTGGACACATGGACACTGAAGAGCTGCTTTCTGATACCAGCAATACATTTCTTCTAAGTATGTGTTTGAACAGTTGTGGAGAATATGGCAAAACCTCTCTGATTAGGGTGCAAGGACCTCCAAATATACCTTGTGCCTTATTATATTATAAACCTCTCTTCTCCCGATCCAGACTCAGCATCACCAGCCCCACAGTGCACAGTGCAGGTCTAGCCCCAGCCTGCACTCAGGTACTGTGGTCATGTGTCATGTTGCAGACGTGTAATTTCAGTAATCCAGGATTAAAAATTACTATCCAGTGGTGCTAATCCTTTCATTCAGTGTCCAAAGGTTGCATTGGATCATGCTTATCTGTTACTCAAAGCAAACTATTCCCCTAGGTCCCAGTGTAATCCTCCCATATTCCCACACTACTTATTAACTACTATGAACACCTCTTTGTCCCAGGAGTGGGGAATATGCACAAGTGAAATGAGCAGTCCTTTACACCTGGGTAAGCTTCATAAAATGTAACCATCACTAGCACCTCATTTTAAACAAGCTTTGCACGTGATTGATGGGGTGGCCTTAGCATTCCTGAAGAGCAGGTTATTGTCATGGCACCTTTGTGGACATCCCAAGTACAAAAATAATTTAACATGAAAAGTAAAATATGCTTTCCTTTAAGAAATACTTGCAAAAAAATGCATTTCTCTAGAAATTGGAAAAACTCAGTAAAACAGACTAACTAAAAAAAATTCCTATAACAATTCACTTCATGGAAAAGTCATTCTATTGCAATGTTCTGCCTTTGCTGATTTGGACACAAAAGAAACATCTTGTTCTCATGATCCTTTTCTTAGGAGAGGACAGCAACGTGAGAGACTGTGTGCCATGCCCAAGGACACCAGTGTTGAGTTACCCTACAAAGCCCAGTGCCAAGTAGCCATACTTCAGGTGTCAGCTATGTGCTAGATAAGTAGGGCTTTTAACTAGATGAACAATCATCTCAGCTGCCTCATAAGCACTTGTCAAGACCACTAATCCAGTGACAGAGGATGTATTTTAAACTGCTGGCTATTCATAGCAAGAGGCAGCTCTAGACTTCACAAGCCTGCTGTTGTGGCCAGTCCCTGGTCCAGGGAAGTGTTTCATTAATACCAAACTCATGGCCAGGGGTTTTGTATTAATGCAGAGGCAGCTTTGTCAGCAAGCCTGGCATGAGCCCTCCCCGGCTACTCATCCCCTGCCACTGCCACCACCCACTGCCACCCACAGACAGCGGGTAAATATAGCAGATGAGCCACTTGCTCTGCTGAAGAGGACTTGCAGAAACACCTGGGTCAGCAGATGGGTTTAGGCAACTCTTCACTAATAAGAAACAAGACAGGCTTTGCAGAAGTTCAGTGAGCCCTGGTACCTTTGTCAGCTGCTGCTCTGAGGGAAAGCCCAGCCCAAACACGGTGTTGGCTCTGCTGTCTGCCCACTGCCCGAACTTCTGCGACGTTTTAGTGAAGGTCATGTTGGGTGTGATTGTGCTGTTTATGATCACCTGTTCAAAAACAGAGCAAAAAAGAATTAAAAAGTAGAAGTCACATCAGAATATATATCCTAGCAACAATATCATCCAAAGCAATTAGCAGTCTAAATTGGGAAATTGCTGTGTTCAGAAGATTTTCTCCCGAAACAAAACAGTTTTTATCCTGTCTTAGTTCATGCAGAAATTCTGATGTTTTGTCTTTTTTTTCAAAGCACTATCATGGTCCTGCAGCTAAAGAGGCTTCAGGAACATCACTGAACTCAAAGCAACAGCAGGGTCAAGAGCTGTAAAATTACCCTGGCAGAAATGCAGATGCAAAATCCTCTTTTAGCAGCATTAGGAAGGCACACAGTTACTCCCACCACACCCCACCAGGCACCTGAGATGCCCAAGGCCTCCAAGCAGGGCATCCACCAGCAACACCTGACCTCAGATCTGAAGAGCAGAGAGGTATTTCTACATTTCTCCATTTTTCCTCAGGCCTTCACAAGTAGGATGCCAGAGACATGTCAGAAGTTAAAAACAAACAAACAAACAAACAAAAAAAAACAAATCAAGGAGAAGCTGATATCTTAATAGTGAGTTTAACTTGGGAAGGGGGTGAAGTGTATCACCAGCAATGCACATACAGTATCAAATTTGGGCCTCAGAACAAATATTTTGCCCTTTTCACACATGTTAACTAATATCTGCTTCAGCAGCAGCAACCCTGAAAGCAACAGTAGTCCTTGTAATTAAGGAAATAGCCAAAAAGATGAAGGCTGGTGGATGAGGTCTCCAAGGAACTTAGTGGAACAGGTAAAAAATGTAATCTTGCAAAAAGGAATGAGATATATGTCAGTTCATTACCAGAAACCTTAACTTTATTTTCAAGATACATCATTATATGAGTCTAGAGACTCCTTCCCCCGGAAATTAATTCATGTACAATGTTCTTTCTGCTAACAGAATAAGAACTTTCTTTAGTAATGTGTACCATCATTTCCAATATGCAAATTATGCAGTAATTAAGCCCAATCTGTGGGACAGTTTAATTAACATGATCAGGAAGTATCCTGGCAACATCATTTACTATGTATTCCAAGCAGACTTTTTCCTAAGCTTTCATTTACATTTAGCAAAAAGTGTGAATTAAAGCTACCGGAGGAAGATCCTTACTTGACTCCATCCTCTCCATGACTTCAGACCTCTGTGCTGATGCTTTCATTTGCTTTCTTAGAAATAGCTCAACTTATTTCCCTCTTGTTGCATCATCATTTTCAAATAAACATATGATTTTCCACCATTCCCTACCAATCAGTTTCACCAGAAGGATGAAAGCAGAGGAGGGTCAGGTGGCTGGTACCCCTGAAAGTGTCCTTTGCATGGGAAGAAACAGAGCAAGAAAGGGGGAGAGGAGGCTCTGCAACCAGCTCTGGCCAACACACACTGTGCAGACGTCAGGTTGCCCAGAGAAGCTGTGGATATCCCATCCCTGGAAGTGCTCAGTGTTGGATGGGGCTTTGAGCAACCTGGTCTAGTGGAAAGTGTCCCTGCCCATGACAGGGTAGTTGGAGCTAGGTGATCTTTGAGGTCCCCTCCAAAAAAAACCATTCTATGATTCTATGATCTGCTTCCAGATTCAAAACATCTTTTTGAATGGCCAATTGACAGGCAGAGGTATAAGCAAAGCTGCCCAGATGTGCTCTCCTGCAGCTAAGTTACACAACAGAAACAGCCAACATAAAATATAAGTGTGATTTCAGAGATGTAAATTAAAAGCAAATCAAAGATTTTATGGTAAGGGTTTGACAGTGCAAAGGGACTATGATGATACCAGGACTGCATGATACAGAGAGTCACGAGAGCAGGAGGAAAAGTTACCACCAACCCAGAAAAATCAGGATGCTTTCCAAAAACTTTAAAGAAAGTGCTATATGTATATTTCTTTTTAAAAAAAATCTTACATCGGGCAGATGAACCACTTAGAAATGTTTAGCTTCTCAAGTTACAGAATTTAATTTAGAAGTTATGAAATACCCAGAGATTTCAAGTCATAAAAAGTATTATTTCAGTCCTGCTGTGCCTATCAAATTAGACATCTGTGGAAAAGAAAAATAATAAAATGACCTGTTTGAAAGGCAACAGCTTCACTCACTGGTAGCTGACCCTGAGAAGAATAAAAGTCTTCCATACCTCCTACAATGATCATTGAGTAAATACAAACAGAAAAAAAAACAAACCCAAAGTTATCTTAGACTACAGTTCAGTATTATCAGATGTGGTAAAAGGAATAATGAAGCTGGCAAATTGTAAACCAAGGAACACCTTACTGAGCAATGAAATACGCTCCATTAGCTGAGCACCTTACATGTTAATCTTTTTCTATAGCCAGTGCAGAATCCAAAGAAAGCTTGTGGTGAGCACACACCTTCAAGAAACTGACAGTTCATCTGTTAAATTTATAATAAGCTGCAATTAGTGAAACTGCTTGGAAGCTGGCTCTACCTTTTTTTCCCCCTTAAATCCTCCTCTGTCAATCAGGCACTTCAGAAACACCGCATTCCTACAGAGAAGTGAAAACCTAAGTAGAAGCTCAGGAGATTAAATCAGAGCTCATAGAAGCAGTTCAGAGGAGATGGATGCTGTGAGTACATCATGCTTATCCACCCTGTCTTCCTCCCCTTCCTCACCCCATCTGCCTGTACATTCACTTCCCCATAAATCTGGTCATTATTTCTGAACAGAGACACTACACTGGCCAGGGGAAAATCGTGTTGGTTGTGTTTAGGAGAAAGAAAAGGTGCTATGATTTAAAAGAACAATTAAAAATGAGGCTTGCAAATGTTCCTGCCAGGTAATCTTGCCTATCCCCCCCTCGTGCTGGCTCACCCTCGGCTATGTGAGACCAGAAGGACAGTGACCCCCACCACTCCACCATCTCCTGGGCAGGCAGTCTCAGCTGGGGCAGAAGGCAGGGGAAGCATTTGTGGCCACTACAACAAGAAAGGTCAAATAAACTCGGAAAACTTTCTTTTTTTTGTGAAGGTATGAGCCAGAATTTTCAAATTTCAAAGGAAGAAGGAGAGAAGGAAAAGGGCACTATTTTGCTGCAGATAGGATGAGCCCACCGGGTCTTTTCCATCTCTACCTGCAATCCAGTGTTATAATCCTATAAGAAAAGGCCACTCATCAATTCAAATGAGCTCTTATGAAAAAGCTCTGCCTTTGGTCCCCATTTGTATAATACACACACAGTGTAATTCCAGCTGCATCATAAAACGGAATAAACTTGTGGACTTTCATCCAGGATAATGGATTCAGAAGATTTACTACTCTCTAATCAAATGCAATCGATCCCTGAAGTGGTTAAAAAGTTCTCCCTAAAGACAAAGAGGAGCATAATATAATAAGCACCTTACAAAATAATAAACTCATTCATCATACTGAGTTGTCTACATGTGGTTAAAAAATCCTACCTGCCTTTGCACTCACTACATGCAAACTTATCAGATGGCAAGCATTCCTGCTACACCTGCATAAGCCAAACAAAATCTCACACTAATTTCATTTCCTTTGGGAAAAAAATGAACCTGAGAGATCTAAATTTTTATCTGAAGATGAAACAAAAGAATGTTTCCAGCACAAGGTAGCGCTCCCACAAGTGACTCCAAACATTTAGGAACACAGTGGGTATATTCATCAGATAAAGGTGAATGCAAATAAGCTGGCATAGAGCAGAACATTCATGGGCTGTAACACACCCATCCCACTGCCTTCCCACAGAGAGAAACTGCCAAATAAATCAAACAGGGAGAGGTCACAAGACGACCTGAGTGCGTAGAAGGAGAAAAATGTATTGGCAGCTCATGCTGCTTGTGATGTATGAGCAGTGCCCATATATACAGCTGCTCTTCCTTTTAGGGGGTGCTTCGAATGTTTAAAGGGCTCCACTCCCACACTCCCCGTACCACAACAGTGCAATGAAGGGGAAAAGCTGATGTGGCTCCTGAAAACACATATTCCCAAGGCACTGTCTCATTAATAAGGTGTGTGTCAGCAGCTGGAGTATAGAGGGAGCAGAGCTGGAGCAGCACATGGGGTTTGCCAGCTTGGCTCTCAGTGCACACCCTGATCTCATCAGTCTCAGCTTGCCAGGTTCACAAGAGGGAAAAGCAGAGACGAGAGCAAGCTCAGCTCCAAGGGGAGGAGAGCAGAGATCACAGAGGGCATTTGGCAGAGCCACTGGCACAGCCCCGAGGAGGAGGAGGACAACCAACACACTGGCAGGAATTGGTCAGGACATTCACCAAAGGGGATGATGAGCCAAGTCAGCCAGCCTGGCACCAGCTTCTCTACGTAGGAAAAGACTGAAATAACAGCTATGAAGCTAATAAATGTACTGGGCAATATATTTTGGAACTGTGTTAAATTAATTGAGAAAGGGGCCCCTTATTCTGGGGTAAGAGTGCCAGATCAGGAATTATTCTGCAATTTCCCCTTCAAATTCACATCACCCGTTACTCCAAAGAGTACTCACCTCCAGAAAAGTCCCCAGACTCCAGGCCATAGGACCTACTCCTTAAGACTATATTAAGATCTCCCCATTTCATTTCCACACCTCTGAATATGTGCTTCCAGTTCCCAGCCCCTGTGAAATCTAATTTCCTCAACCCACCAGGCTGCTAATCTTCAGTAAAGATGTATCCCAGTCTAAAAACAGAATTGAAGAAGGAAAGAAGCTGCTAATCCTCTGGCCACAGCTATCACAGGCTCAGCAGGTTCTTCCAGCTCATCAAGTTGGCATGAATCAGAAGGGCTTGTGACACCGGATGTGAAGATGAGGAGACAGGGATGGATTTACAGAGAAATTCTCCCTTTATCCCAAATGTTCAGCAACTCTTTTGTGGTATTAGCCCACCTACATTTCCATGATCTGTATTATCCTCTGCACTATCTACCATCCTTCCTACTTCTGCTTCTAACATCTTTTCACCAGTATGTCACTGGTGATAAACTGCTCATCTCATTTC